TGTCATCTGCCGAAATATTTAAGCTCAAGTACCTGGCAGGGATGTACGTAACGAAGGTAACAACAAAGGTCAGTTCATTGACAACATCATCCCCAAACTCCCCAATCAAACTACCCATAGGCCCAACAAACCAGCTCTCGACCATACCCATACACCATGCAACAACACCCAAAAGAAATGCCACCTAGGCTGCTAGGCCTATGGGAAGGCGACTAGGGTCATTCCAGCCATCCAAGTCATAAGTATTGAAATCCCGTTTTCGGAACAGAGTAGGCCTATGTTCCAACATCAGAATAACAAAATAGCTCGTGCACCAGTAAGCTAGAAGACTTAAGAAAACTTGCAAATATATGTTCAGCTTCTGTCGACCAGCGACTGCTAAAGCAAGAACGACTGCGAAGCACACGATTGTCCAGATAAACCGAGGAATCTTGGCGAGCGGACGAGCCATCTGCTGGAACGAGATCACACCTGAGTAAAGGGTCAGAATATTGCTGTTTATACCCGTGCAAGAGAAGAGCACAAGTACGATTTTAGCAAAGACGCTTGGATGCAGCATATCCCGAATTAGAAATCCAAGGCCTTCGTGAGGATTTGTGTAGGCCGCCTTCCATGAAGTCTGAGTGTTGAGGGTACTGGCAACCATGGCACTAGCAGACATACCAATGGATGTCGGCACAGCGTTACCAAGGATACCTAGTGAGGACAAAAACTTTGAGGCGAGAAACATCAGCGGGATAGTGGACGGTGGAAGTCGGAAACCATGGTACACCAGGAGGATGAGCCGCCGTATACAATTGCAAAAAGAGATAGCATGTTGCCTGAAAGATCAGCTCCTTTGTCCAAAGAGGGAGCCGTATTGTCTGCGTAAGGGCCAACCATGCCAAAGATTATCATGTAAATGGTCAAGTTGAGAATCCATGCATAACGTTCATACACTAGTATGTACCTAAGACCAAGAAAACTGATGGCTAGGGATGCGGTAGCGATGATGACAACGCCAATAACCAAGGAGATATGGCCATGAGCCGCAGCGGTTAAAGCAAGGCCGCCGGAGATGCATGACACCGCGGTCCAGCCAAGGGCCTTGTCGTCGAAGAGCGTCATTGCAGTAGTAACTGGGATGGGGAACGAACAACGATTACTGCATGAGGATAGCAATTTCAAACTTTCGGACTAGGTAGAAATGGACAGGTATTTATATTAATCAGGGAAAAACTGAGGGGAGCGTCGTTCCGATGACACAGCTCTTGTAACAGAGGATTTAGAGTGGTAGCTTGGCTGTACGACAAGAATACTTTGAAATATCTTTGTCCAGGCCAATGTGGCTTCCCACTACAGTATTCCAGGAGACTACACCATGCTAATAACGACGATAACGCTTTCTGTCAGCTAAAGTAGAAGTTAGATCCCGTAGATAACCCTTTGACCTCGGTTTACACCTAGCTTCTCAGCATGAGGACCTACCTAGCTCTGCTTTTGCTCTCGTAATCCATCACAGCTTTTTCATCCCCACGACACCGTGAGCTACCCTAGGCGGTGATTTCCATAACTTCTGGGGAAGCAAGTTGTTCTAAAGCATTGGAGAAAGAACCAAGGATCTCACCATCCGGCAACCCGTATGGGGCAAGCGTGGCCACGTTTGTTTACGCACCGCTAAGAGGAGCTTGAATAAACTAAGTCCAGATGACGAGTCATCCGAGTAAGGAGGGACTCGGTTGACAGCTTAATCAGCTTGCAGGTCAGGAAGCGGCAACTTGGGGAACGGATTTTGAGGGGGGGTACTGCCTTTATTTCTGCTGTTCAACGATCTATTGAACTCTAAAACGAAAAATCGTCTAGATAAACTCAACGGAACGTGATGTCCCTTCCAATCTGATGGAATATAACATATAATCATCTTAGAAAGGAACTTGCGGCTTGCAGTAGGTGATATGTAGATGTGATGGTAAATAAGCTTAGCCGAAATAATTCTATAGGGAAGGCGGAACGACGAGCTGTACGATGCTCATCTTCGCTTTTATATGTTGTAATTGGATATTGATCTCATCAGAGGTATAAAGATGCTGGCAGCGAGGATATTCAGCTGTCAACCCTGACATTACATTTCCCTCTCTGCCGCAACTAAACAGGTTATTCTAATTTACCTATTGAGGCTCAGGATGAAGGCTTTGGAAAGAAAGTCTGTCTGAGCTACTTAGGCCTGGGCAGCACCACCGTCAAAGTTCTATTTAGATCCACTCTCATATAGTTTCTTGGCGTTGACTGTATCGTTTCTGGTTTCTTTCAGAAAAGAAATTAATCGTGTACCTCCTGTTCCAATTATTGTATCGTTCGCTGCATTTTCCATTCCATGATTGGCTAAATGTTGCTTAGAGCTGTCCTTCGGCTGATTCTTCGAGGGTAAGATAATATATCTCGCCATAATCTGAATATGTATGGATCGAAACTCACAAAGTTGATCAACGGCAGCCAGGTATGCGGACCGCAGCCTTTGGTGCTCCGCTGATGCAACTTTACCTTACCGCATTGCCAGCTCGCGGATGCCGCATGCTTCGGCAGCGTGTAAGAGGAATCGGTGATGTGGTCCCGGCATATATTCTCTAGCCTCATGATGGAAGCTCTTCTAGTCGGCGACGCAATTGGAGCCGTGTTCGATGCCGAGTACAATCTCTGGGAGCTGGATGAGGCATCTCTGTCCATTGCTGCCGCCCTGTAATTGCCGCTATTGGCCTTTATCCTCACCTTCTCATAAAAAACGCCTCGTGGCAAGCCAGCGGCCCCCATATTCTTGCTGCCAGCAAGAAACGGCCTGACGTGATGATAGAAGGTCATCGGGCCACACCTTTCGTACATTCTTTCTAAGAGTGTTCCCGCAGACTTAATAAATGATGTAATTTCCTGAAGAGCATCCTGATGACGCTGTAGTTTCGTGTCTTCGTCGCCTCCAAAGCATCCACAGTAGTCTGGATAATACCGGTAGCCTTAGTTTCCATGGCTACGCTGATAAGTAGAAACCATGACTCAGATTCAGTATCAGTGAACGTGAAGAGCGTGCTGAGATCCTCTGGTTTGGAAACGTCTTCCCCCGAACAAGTGAAGTTCCAAAGACTAGCTGCCGCGTAAGTAAGAACCGGTGGGAGTTCAACATGTGCAGATACCGCTAGAAATGGTATTGTAATTTGAGGCGGTAAAACTTCCTCCGGGCTATCACCAGCCCATATGTATGCATGTGCCATGTACGCCAGCATTACATATGCTCGTCGCCACTCAGGTTCTGTGTTCAGGGCGTCTGTCGACAAAATTGAGAGTCGATTTACGGCGTCTCGTATCTCTCCATTCTGAATCAAAGTCGTTAACTGCGCAGTAATGTTTTCCCAAGGCCCGTAATATTTATCCGAGAGCTGTTTGCAGAGTCTTTCATGAGAAAGGAAAGTATTCTGAGTGAGACTGAACTCTCTCATTTCTGCAAGCCTATTGCGCTCTGAAGAGTCTGATAAAATGATGGGAGGAGATATATCGGAAACCACTGTTGTTTTTCCCACGCTGCAAGTAGGTGTGTTGAAAGAAAGAGCATAGCATCTATTAGAGTTGTCGGGTGATATGGATAAACAAGCAAAGCCACCCTCGAGCAAGATTGTAATTACCTCTTCATTTCCTCCATACCAGTCTCGGGGTACGGACTATACGCCAAGTGCCTACGAATACCCAAAGCGTATGAGTGATTAATTCATCTTTTTTATAGAAAAGCCAAACGATTACCTATTTCATACGATTCTTACTTACCTAGTCTATGCACTCCTCGTTGGCAGACGAAAAGGAGTACTAAACCACTCCAGGACATTCAGAGCCTGTGAATATACTCTGAATTTACTACAGTTTAACTAGATAAACGTCTTTTATACAATATATTTACCGCTTACGTATAGTATGTCATCAATGAAGGGAGTGGTTACTCAGCACCCTAGGACTGTGTGAAGTTTAAGACTTGGAACTATTTATAATGGAAGGTCATTTATTTATTCCTACAGCCATGTATTTAAATAGTAAATACCTAGCTCTTTGACTCTCCGCTACTATTACTACTTACTACTACTATAGTTATTATCCTCTAGGATTTACTATTATATCTATATTTCTCTAGTATTTGCTATTATTCTCTAGTATTTACTATTATATCCACATTTCTTTAGTGTCTACTACTTTAGTTATATATTTACTATTATATCTATATTTCTCTATTATCTGCTACTATAGCTACCTAAGCTAAATATATATATATATTATATTTACTGCCATAGCTATATTTGTTTAGTATTTGGTATTATCTGCAACATAGAATGCTGGATAGCTAATTCAACTTGCTGAATAACCATGGCATAAATCAAGATTAGAAACTAATTGGTAGTGTTCCCCACGGAGCTACAAGTGATGCGACACACCGTCGAATTACTTGAGCTCTTCATACAATGATAAAGAAAATGTGATCCGGGCTACATCAGAAATTCCCCCTAGCCCAACTGGCAAGTCTGCCGCCGCTGCATGACCGCATGGAGGGTGCCCACACCAGAGCATAACTAGATTCAAGGTTGTGTAGCACCAAACAACTGAGCTAGTCCAGTTTTCAGAATCAAGCAGTTGTGGAGGTTCAGGATAAAGTATTTTTTGGATTGGACAACCTTGGATAAGTGCATGTTTGTTTGTTGGGATATGTAGACAGACCTGGTGTCGTCTTCGGCGCTTTGCTTGCCATATTGGTCTAAACTCCACCGATGTTTTGGTGCTCCATCAGATCCAAGCGTTCAACTTGAGAGGGTAGGTACGTCTCTCATTGACTCATCTACTGACTTATATAGTCCAATTTGCCCTTAGAAGAGCCAATTTTCCAACCATCAGATTCTTACCTACAACTGTTCAAGTTGGTTGCTTTTGATACCGAATTTCCCTTCTCGTCATAATATCTGCAGTGTTCGTCTTAACACCTTTTCTCACCCTACAGCATGACTCCAAAGAGCAGAATCATAATTGATACTGATCCCGGTAGACAACTCGAGATGAATGAAGTACGTATAAGAAGCACTTGGTTAACTGTTTACAGGTGTTGATGATGTTATTGCCATGCTCTTGGCTTTCAATGCCAACCTTGAGCAGCTCGAAGTTATGTTGATATCTATTGTACATGGCAATGTAGCTTTATGAAGGTGCGAGTGCTCGCCTTTCCTTCCACCGCTACCTACAACACTAACTACTCAATAGCTGCCTCTGGAATGCCCTAGCCGTCTTCCATGTAGTCGAAAAGGAGATAGAATGGTGTAAGTCAACAGGACGACCCGAAGGTTTCGAAGTAATGAAATTTCATAAAGCCAATCGTGGCTCTTGGAGCGGATCGTCCACTACAAGAAGATATTGCCACCGCTGAACATATCCGTGAGTGGAATCATCTTGCTGGCAGGTAACAGACCAGTTGGACTAATATAGACCCTACAGATGGTGCGGATGGGTTGCACAATGTCCATAATACATATCCTCACCTGGCACCTTTGGATGCCTAGAAAGACCTTCTTGATGGCGACGCAGATGAATCGGTCAACCCTGCAGCCTACTCGTCCTTTTTTATGGCATCCAAGATACCTGCGTACAAGGAGATGCTCCGTATTCTTAGAGAGAATCCTCCTGACACTATCAGTATCCTGGCCATGGGTCCACTAACCAACGTAGCTCTTGCAGCTGCCGAGAATCCTGAGACCTTCCTCAAGGTGAAAGAAGTCGTCGTTATGGGCGGTGCTATAAATGTTCCAGGCAACGTCACGCCAGCCGCGGAGTTCAACACGTACGCTGATAGAGTTGCGGTGGCGTGACTCTATGCACTTACATCGCCAGTGCCAGCTTCCACCATGCCACCAGCATCTGAGAACTTTGCCAATCTGCCACATTACCCAGCTAAACTTGGTCGGCGCTTGAAGCTGACGCTCCTCCCACTGGATATCACCACTAGGCACACAATCTCGAGAAACGTTCTCAACGAGCGTATCAAGCCTCTCATCGATGCCGGCAGTCCGCTTGCATTGTGAATAGCTCATTGTCTCAACGGAGCGATAGACAGTGTCGCGGATATGGTAGGCGATGGCGTGGAGACAGGTTTCTCATTGCATGATGTGTGTACGGTCTGGTACGTCATGGCGCCAAATGATCCAGCATGAGAAATACTTGATACACCAGAGGATATACGGATCGAAACAACCGGTCAACGGACCAAAGGTATGCATATCATTGACAGTCGAAACAGGTCTCGTCAAGGCCATGCATTTTTAGCCGGTAGTGGATCGAAACTTGTGGATGAAGGCGATTTTATCACAACAGAAGAAGGGCCAGGAGACCCAATGAGATGATTGAGCCACATGAAGGGTAGTAGGCTTCACCGAATTACGTCTTCGCCAGCCGGAGGTATCTTTGACGTATGGATGGAAAAGGTTCTTGAGGGTTAAGCGGGTTACTCGGCCTATTGGATGTGTATAAACTAGAACAATCATACCAGTTACGATGTCCGTGAAGGTTGGTCAAATGGATGAAAGCGAAGTAAGCAGCGTGGCAATAAGAATAGACTTTCTGTCTCGTGAGACTTCAAACAAAATGTATGGCTTAGGTGTAGTCAATTGACACTTACAATGAAAATCACGAGAGGCTTTACGTATCACAAAACTGAGCGGCCTTTGGGAAACCGTGGCCATGATAAACACAAAATGACACGAATAGAGAGGAAGACTAAGTGTCTCTTTAGAAAATGAATGTCATGTCCATCCTGTTGGTATTTTATAACTAGGAAAACTCCTGCATGATGCAGCCTTGAGGATGAAACGGCTCATTAACTACAGTCTTTCGTCAGAAGATGCTGTTTTGATGTTTTCTGCTGTCTTTGCAATTGCTCCATCTGCCTTGGCGACTGGCTTTCATCTCTTCACTGGGCTCACCCACTCCATAAATGCGTCCGGAATGACGTTGAGGCATGCAAATATGACCGGTAGAAGAAAGACTTGACGAATAGCATTGTTATAGGCTGTCAAACCAGCATTCAAATGCTGGGGAAACCTAGTTTCGAGTAACTGTAGGAGACTTGAGGCGCCGGTCTCAATCATATCGCGTGGGTCGATTTCGGGGACCAGCTTGTGGATCTGAGAAATGAGCTGATTCTGGAAGATATTTGCGGCAACAGAAAGGAAGATTGTGCCCGCAAGAGCTTGAGTGAAGATAAGAGCAGAGGTAGAGAGAGCAATATCGGGGCCTTTGAAGACGGTTTGGGTGACCATGAGAGGCTGCTGAGCGCCGATACCAATCTCAACGCCCATAATGATGAGCGACGGAACCCTGTGATGAAAGTTAGGATAAAGTGAGGGTCAGATGGTGGTGCAAGATGACTGACCAAAGACCAATGCTTGTATGGGGATCAAATGAGTAGATAAGGCCAGCTCCCACGGAAGAAAGTATGGTTGACATGATCATGTTGGGGACAAAATAGCCGATACGAGTTGTCTGGTGCTCTGTTGTTAGCCTTGTAACACTTGAAAGGTAATTCCTGTCCCACTTACTAGGAACCCTGAGGCTATAACAGTCAACGATAGACCGGCGCTCATTGTGAGAAAATAGATGCCGGACTTGTATGCCGAAACGCCCTTTACGGACTGGAACCAGATGGGAACGTAATAATGGATGACAAAAAAGGCTGAGAATAGGCAAAACATGTATATCATCCCTGAAGCCATGGATCGCTGCTTGATGATGCGCAGTGGAAGCGTAGCCTTACTGCCCTGCTTATACTGAATGAAACCCCATGGGACGAATAGAACAGCGAAGAGGACAAGAAGAAGGATAATTCTCCAGGAATTCCACGAATATTGGCTTCCACCCCACTGTAGGGCCAAAAGAAGGCAGATGGCCCAGGGTATAAGTATCAATGTGCCGATGAGGTCGAATCGATCGAGAAACCCCTTGATTGTGCCTGTCATCTTGCGATTGGGATCAGCAGGGATCTTGACTAGGAAAAGCACAGTGAGAAGGGTCACGGCGCCTAGTGGAAGATTGATCCAAAAGCACCACCCTGAGTGACGAGAAGTCAGTTCGAAGCCTAAAGGTTATAGGATCATGATACGACTTACTCCAAGTGACTTTGTCAGTAAAGACGCCTCCAAGTGTGGGCGAAGTGATTTGAGCGATTACCACCGATCCACCCATGGCGCCTATGTATTTCGGACGTTTGTGCAATGGTAGACATCTCGAGAGAATCTAGATTTATGATGATATGTCAGCAAACGATTGGACCCAAGAGCAACGATATGTCTTGAACAATGCTTGGGACTTACAATAAGAGTTCCGGAAACGATGCCCGCACCTCCTATTCCCGCCACGGCTCTTCCCACGATCAGAGCGACCGAGCTCGGCGCTGTAGCGCATACAATCGATCCAACCTCAAATATGAACAGCGCGGTGAGAAAGACCCATTTTACTGGGAATTCTGCGTAAAGTTGCCGAAGAAGAGTTGGAAGCAGCAATTGGTGAGGAGGTATGCTGAACCATACCAGCCCACATCGTCGAGGGAGTTGAAGTCGCTGGTAATTTTGGGGATGGAAGTAGAAACAATGGTGCGATCCTGAGGATATGGTGTAAGTAAGCTATGCGACTCAGGAGAAGAACTGAGGTCACTGAGAGGATTGAGATGGGGGGACGCACGAGACCGACGCAAAGGGCAGCAAGAAAGAGGCCCACAACAAGAATGATCAAGTTGATGCCACTGGGATAGTCAATTGCTGGAGATTTTGGAGTAGCACTGGGTGCTTTTTCGACATCTTGGGTAGGAGTCGGTTTGTGCTTGTTGTCAACTTGGGCGTTTGCCTGAGAAGAGCTGACGTCGGGATCTCTGTAGTTTGCCTGTGTAGTCGGGAATAGTAAACAATAGGAGAGCTATAAATGCTATACTAGATCAGTACAAGTGTAGTTCCTACTCTTTAGATTTCTCCATTGACCTTTCAGCTGATTTTCAATACTTCGTGCCTTGTATGCTCGCGGGACCGGAGGTAGAAACTCTCCCTAGAAACGTTCTGCAGAGAAAAGTCGTTTGGATGAAGAATGAGACTTGATCTGATCATGATGGAATTCCGGAATATTGTTATTTTATGTTTATCAAGCCATGATACCGAACTTTACGGCTCTGGACCTCTCGATGGATAGCATCCGGAGCACGGGAATTAAAATGCGGACCGGCACCGGGGCAGCGCATCACGTTGTCTAACAACACATTACTGAGTCCCAATTTTTAAAAACATCATTATTTCCGTACGGCGCATTATTTGTGAGACAATTCTCCTTTATATATAGGGAGAACCTTGTATTCCGGTGTGTAGCTTACGTTTACATCTATTCTACTGCAATTCAGGATGAAGGGATGGCACCCTTCCGCAGCACTTAGCCTCATTAAGCTAACACCAATACGATATGATTACAACAAGCAAAAGAGGAAGGGGGAAACATTGTCTTATACTTTGGAGCGAAATGAGCGTCCTCTTCGCATACTCTGAGATTCCAGGCGCGGACCGTCAACACTTGCTACTACTTCAATATCATCCCTGGTCAAGCTACCAGGTAGTACAACCTCGATAACAGAGCAATTTTACAGTGAGGTATACGTTGGAAGAGATATCATTGGCCCCCCTTTCCATTTACACTTCTTTCCGCTTAGGTCCAGCTGAGTAAACCTGCTTCTAGAATTAGCATCAATTCCTACCAGCAGTCAAGTAGTTTGTAAGTTGTATCTACTAGGTACATGTATGCAACACCTCGCCTTGGAATATGGTGCATTATGTAATGCAATCTCAAATGCCCGCCCCCTCAATTGCATCGTAGCAGCACGAGGGAGAAGTTAATCTACCTCCTTTGCATCTGTACTGCTTCTACATCAATTGTCCTCGGAAGTGCTCGAGAAAATCGCAGGCCAAAATGCATATATATCATGCTTGGTGTCATTTATGTTACTGGGACGATTTTTATACCCAAAGCGAACTCGATGAACATTTGGAGGCTGAACACTACTGGTGCTCTGTCTGTCGGGAAGAATATGACACTCGGCAAGAACTTACCCATCACCAAGTTGAGGAGCATCATCTGTGTTCGATTTGTCGAACGTACTTCTCGAGCCGTTCGAATCTAAAATATGTTGGTTTGCCTCTTATATCTCGTACCTCATGCTCTTGATCTCGGTCATGTCTGACAACTTCTACACTAGCACACCCTAATCCATACCGCCAAACATATCGAGTGCCCCGCATGCCCTCGGAAATTCTCTAGAGCATCTGCTATGTTGCTACATCTAGAGGTCGGGCGTTGTCCAGCCGGCGTTGGTTCTGGGGGGATCGATAAGCTTGCAGGTGAATGTCGTCAATGGCGGAGATTCCTCGACAAGGCAAACGGATACATGTACAACTGCCCAACCTGCGGCGAGGAATTTTTGTACATGAGTGGACTTTTGCAACATGCTGAGAGCGAGGGTTGCAATGAGGATCTAGACAAAACGTTTGGTCCACTAGCGATATTTCTCCGTTTTCTTCGATCGCGCCTTAGCTAAGAGGCCATCTGTTGGAACATGAAGATAGCCCGGCTGGTAATGACAATAGTATCCCCACAGTATGAGACATACAAATGTGTTAATTTTTAAAAGAGAAACCACATATAAGTTATACAGTTGTCATCGACAGGGCGCGTGTCTATCCTCCAGCTTCGAGATTATTGCATCATCTACCAAATGTTGTTGGCTAAGATTAAGCTTGATTCGGTGCCATTCTAATATAGGCACCTAGTGTTGGCCCTAGCGCTGCAATCCAATCCTAATCCAGGCGTCAGGTTTCTTCTCATTGGCGTACGCATGAGAAGCCCAAAGCGCTGCATCGCCGATTGACTCATCCGGTGAAATGGAAATTTATTAGTGAGATAGCTGCAACTACAATGCCTGTAATATGAAATGTTATGCCCACGATGCAGCGAAGTGACTTAATTTCTTTTTGTTCCCTTGACCAATTTTTCATTAGATCTATTGTCGACTTCAAATTCTTAGAAATTTGGCACAATTAAATAGACAGAAAAAAGAAAGTTCTGCGCACAATGTCGGCTCCCCATCTCAGTAAAGAAGCCCTCTCCACATGGGAAACCAACGCCGAATTCTGGAACTCTGGCGTCGGCGAGCATGGCAATAAATACTGGAAGCAGCTTCAAGAACCGTCTCTTCAGCGCCTCCTTGGCCCGAGCCTCAGCAAGCAAGGCTGCACGGCTTTGGAGCTGGCTACAGGCAATGGTCTCTGTGCTCGCTGGCTCGCAGACAACGGCGCCGCCAGCATTATCGCTACAGACGGCACTTTTGGCATGCTGGAGCAGGCCAAGAAGTATGAGAATGCCGATAGAGACGGAAAGATATCTTTCAGCAAGCTGGACGTGACCGATGCAAACGACTTTGAGCCCCTCGTGGAAAAAGCTGCCGAGGTGATACTCTAAAGTCACTTGTCTTGTTTTTCGTTCAGAAAACATTGATGCATTGGCTAACCGCCAGAATCATGTCCAAAGATTGGCGGTTTCGATGTTATTCTCATGAACATGGCGATCATGGACGTCGCTACTCTTGATCCCCTCGCAGACGCGCTTCCGAAAATACTCAAGAAGGATGGCGTGTAAGTCCCTCCATGTCGCTTGAGTTCGTCCTCCTCCGGGGCGAGGTAACTCAATCTAAACATTCACTCTGCAATCTAGCTTCGTAGCCACCATCCTCCACCCAGTCTTCTTCACCTCCACCTATTCCCGCAACATCGAAATCACATTCGACCCTTTGACGGGTGAACAACACATCATCCGTAGCAAAGTTATCAAGGAATACCTCCATGTCAAACCGTCTAAAGGCGTGTTCATTGTAGGACAGCCAACAAAACAGGTGAGTTGGAGCTTGTGGCAAATAACCACGCACTATCGAATATCTTGAGGGAGAGTGCAAGTGGCTGACAGAATGCGATAGTATTACTTCCACCGCCCACTCCATGAACTATTCAGCGTCTTTTTCAAGAGAGGCCTGGCATTGGATGCACTTGAAGAGCCTAGTTTTACTGAAGAGGATGCTATCCCAGGGAGAGTGGAGGCTTCATGCAACTTTCCACAGCTGCCGGCTATCCTGTCGTTCCGATTCAAAAGATCAGCTTAGGTACGTGTTACAGACTCAGACACTCCACATCTTATTAAGATTGTGGGTAAGTAGAATAGATTGGGAAAAGTAAAGCAAGCTGCAAGATTGATTTCACACATATGGAGCAGAAAATGAATGAAATGGAGAAATATCTGTTAAAAGAAGAAGATGTCGTCTGCAAAGTAGTTGGACCCAAAATTAACAAGTGCATTGTCCATCATAATAAATTCGCCTACTTATAATAACCTCTCAACCCTCCCCGTTCTTTGATCTGGATATGCTCCCGGAACTATATTCGGCACCCTATCCGGATTTGTAGCCGTCCGAATAAACGCTTCCAAATACCCTGCTTTCTCAAAATTAAGATTCGGTGTATCGCTCTGTAACATCAGAAACTGGAGCGCGCAAGGTAATTCCCGCCGTAAAATCCCTTCTCCGCTCATCTCTATACTCCTATTTCGCGATTCCAATCGCTGAAGCTCCAAAACCATCTTTTCTCCGTTCCACAAGTGCGACTCTGCGGCGTCTGTATCCCCATTCATGATTTCAAAGATGACAAAGAACAAGGAGCACAGAATAGCTGGTCGCAGGCTCTCTTGAGAAGTGCTTGTCTCTCTGACGAGCTGAAGCGCTCGGCCGTAGTGCGACAAGGCTTTCCCATAGTGATTGCATCCCACGCCAACTGCTGACTGGGCAAATATGAGGATAAGGACGGCTAGGTTGGCGGATTGGACAGCGGCGTTGTTTTGAATGAGTATTGGGACGTCTTCTCGCCAAAATCGGGCATCGAAGACCGTGTTGTTTGGAAGGCGCGGATATAGTTTCGGTTGACTGGCATTTGCGTGTGGCTCTTTATCTCTGTCTGGGCCTCTCCCATCAGAAAAGAGGATTCCCAGCCCTTGATCTGGCGGGCAATGCGGATTGTTTGCGTTCATGGTAGAATGAGAAGAGGAATTGTTTTCCATTTTATCAGACTCTGCCGCCGTGGTTCGATGGCTTCCGATACAATAAGCGTTGCGATAGGAGTCTCCAGAGGAAGAAGAAATTAAGCATTTGTTAGACAAAGGTTCGGACTGTAATCTTTGCTCATTTTTTCGTCTTGTTTGATCCGCTGATCGGTATTGGGGAGGAAGGATAAGGAGAATGAGAAATAGGCGAAGATAGCTGAACTCGGATAGACGGTAATTGAGATGCACGTGGAATGTCTCATATGCTTCGCATTCCGGAAATTACTGTTTAAGGGAGAGGTGCTGCCAAGACGTCAGGCCTAAAGGTATACTACTGCCAAGATCTGTTGAGATGTGTCAAGGGAGCCGTGAGTTGTAGTAATCTCATGTGTATTACCCTGATGGCTACTCAGCTTATTTTCAAGTTGAGCGCATGTACTACCTTACGAGTATTTGCAATGGAATCACACGCCTCGATTCCAGAGGATGAAAAGCAAAATGTAGACCATCTTTCCACTTTTCTTAATTTACTACCTTCAGAATCACGCGACATGGACGTTGATTGCGTCTCTATTACTGTTGCATGTGTCAAACGGCCTGCTACTAATAAATTCTGGGGTAATACCGCGGTGGTAGTACATGCATGAGGTAAGTGTATGTTTCAGGCTGCGTCTACTATAATCGGCACTGTTGAACCTCAAACCCGATATGGAGACGAACGTGATATGAGGCCATTCGTAAATTTTGCGTATTACTACCTGTGTCTAGAGTTGAATTGTTGAGTCGTTGCGAGTTCATCGTGTATACAGACATGTGCAACTTTCGCGATTCTTATTAGTAAGTCGGAAGTTTCCTGCGTCGGAAGCCGCCGTTTTCCGTTTGAGACCTACATTACACAGCTCGCCACAACTTGTGAGGAAAAAGACAAGAAAGTAAATGAGAAGGGGAAGGAGAAGAACGTAGTAAATCAAGTATCCCGTCATATTCTTTCCCCCGTGGTTTCTCATGGACAGAGTTACAGCAGCTATTGCCTGCAACTAACAAAGCCTCTCCCGCGCCGTTGCCGATTCCGGCTCGCCGGTTCGGACCCTGAGAAGGCGGGGTATCTGCAGCAGTTTTCAGTAGGTACATGTAGTTGGACGTTGGATGTTGAGTCTAAGTAAACTGAGACGTCGTTTGAGGACATGAGACTCTTTTATAAAAAGGACGACTTTGACTATTTTTTTCAGTCTTGATAATGGTTTTGCGTAACACCAGCACTTACTTAGTGGTGATACGAGGCATTGCCTTGCTTACATGACCCAGGCCAAGATGGGGACAAAAGAGACTAAGAGAGTTAGCATAGTGTTCATAGTCCTCCGATGACTCTAGAACACCCTGCTACATACGGCAACGAAACTATCCTCTGTCGATAATACCTGCCATCTTACAGTATTGGGGAGTATTGCCAGTATTACACAAGCAAAAGACAAAAGCCTGCCTTAGTATTCCAGCGCCCATCATGTCAGCCTCAGCCTCGGCCTCATCCCTCCCATCCTCTTCCTCCCCCACCATCATCCTCACCAATCCCACGCCTCAAGAACGCACCCGAACCTGGCTCTACAACCAGACCGAATGGGGCAACAGCCTCACCGTCCCGGACTATCTCGAGCGCGAGGAATACCTCCTCTCCATCCCCCTCGCCCGCAACGGCGGCATCACCAACTGGATCCTCACAGACGACGCCGCCGCCCCGGTCAACGGCGAGCGCCCCGTCTTTGCCGCCTGTGAAACCCTGCGCAAGCGTGCCCTCGTGAGAAACCGCGATGGCAGCGTCCACGATGTGTGGGCGTACGGCATTGCCAGCGTCTTCACTCACAAGGAGTTTCGTGGCCGAGGGTATGCCGGCAAGATGATTGAGCTGCTGCGCGGATACATGGCTGCTCAGCAGCGAGAGATTGGCGAGCCGGCGTTTTCAGTGCTTTTCTCTGACATTGGGAGACTGTTCTATGCGAAGCACGGATGGCTGCCCCTGGAAAACACCCAGATTGAGTTCCGCGTCAGACCAACTGCTGCTGAACTTGATACGTCGTCTGTTACGCTTATTCACGAGGAGAACCTGGCTGAACTGGCTGAACGAGACGAAGGTCTCATCCGTAAGGAAATAGCCAAGCCCAACGCTGCTGATGCGTCCAAATTCCGGGTTGCCGTCATCCCCGACATCGATGCTCTTCAATGGCACTTTTACCGCGAGGCATTCATCTGCAACGCCGCATTCGGCCGCAAGCCCACCGTCCACGGCGCCCTCTACACCTCTCCCTCAACCGGCTCCCGAGTATGGGGTCTCTTCGAGCGGAATCACTACGGCGGCCCAGACCACCCAGAGAAGAACCTCCTCAGCTTCCTCAGATTCGTCATTGAAGACGAAAGCATCTCCGACGAAGAGTTATCCACAGCCGTCGTGGGAATCTTCCGCGCTGCAGAGAAGGAAGCCAAGGACTGGGCCTGCTCAAAGGTCGAGATCTGGAATCCTCTCGAGAGAGTAAGGAAGGCTGCTGAGGCTGCCACCGAATTCCAAACTACGTTTGTCGTGAGACAAGACAAGAACCTTGCGAGTTTGAACTGGTTCGGCGAGGGCGCCACCGAAGACATAGACTGGGTTGTCAACGAGAGATTCGAGTGGTGCTAGCTTGATAAAACTGAGGTACATAGATGTAAAAGATACATACCTAGGGTCACAGAAAAAAGAACAAGCGAACAAGAAATCAAGATCATTAACGTCATTTAATAAATTTATCCCTCTGCATTCCCCTTGTGAATGTCAAACCATATAGCAAATCACAAGTAGGCTACATTTAAACCACTTTTTACACAAATAACTCCTTCTATGCACCATTTCTTTGCCCAAGATTTAGTAGCTTCTACCAAACATGGTCCAGAACTGAGCCTTGCGCTGGCACTCGGGGCTGAGACAATCCGTCTCGCCGGCAACAACGCCCTCAGGCTGCTCGAAAGGAATGCACAAGCTCTTCATGCCCATGGAGGGGAGCTTCTGGCTCTCGGGGACGTCGGGCTGGGTGTCCTCACGAGTAGTCAGCTCCTTGATGCGGTCCTCGCACTTGCCATCACCACAGAAGGGGATCAGGACAACGTTCTTGTCATCCAGAGCGGGAAGAACATCCTCCCACTTTGTAATCTGCAGGCGGTGCTCGCGGAATGACTTCTCGGCCTTGGCGTACATATCCGCCTGGATGGTCTCCAGGAGCTCGGGAACCTTGGTAGCGACATCGGCAATGGGGATGGTGCCCTTCTCGCCAGTGTCACGTCTGGCCCAGCTGACAACCTCCTTGGCGGCATCCTTGGGGCCAAACTCAATTCGCAGAGGAACACCCTTGAGCTCCCAGTCGTTGAACTTCCAGGCAGGAGTGTAACCCTCTCTCCAATCAGACTCAGCACGGACACCAGCCTTCTTCAGGGTATCCCGAATACCATCCAACTGCTCTTCGTGCTTCTTCCTGTCTTCGGGGGTAGTGCTCTTGTTGATACCGACGGGGATCAGGATGGTCTGAGTCTTGGCAATTCGGGGAGGAAGGACAAGACCCTTGTCGTCACCGTGCACCATGATCATGACACCAATGACACGGGTGGACAGGCCCCAAGAGTTCTGCCAGACGTGAATGTGAGAGCCCTTGTTGGCAGGGTCTTCAACAGTAATGTCGAACATTTTGCTAAAGTTCTGGCCCAGGCAGTGGGACGTGGCACCCTGGATACCACGGCCGTTGGAGGGGATGTAGCCCTCGACGGTGGTTGTGTAGTAACCACCGGCAAACTTCTCGTTCTCAGTCTTGCGTCCTCGTACAACGGGGACAGCCAGAAGCTGCTCGTAGACACCAGCATACAGCTCCAGAATCTCCAAAACCTCCTTTCCGGCAAGCTCTTCGGTCAGGTGGGCAGTGTGACCCTCCTGCCACAAGAATTCTCTTGTTCGGAGGAAAGGGGTGGTCTGCTTAGCCTCCCATCGAACGACCGAGTTCCACTGGTTCAGTCGAAGGGGGAGGTCTCGGTGGCTGCGAATCCACTTGGCGTAGTAAGGGTACATGACAGCCTCAGACGTGGGACGAATTGCGACGGGAACTTCGAGGTCCTTGTCACCGCTGGATAGGGGTTAGTCTAAAGTCCTGTCAGGGACGAATATCCAGGTAGTAAATACGTACGCCTTGGTCACCCAAGCCAATTCAGGAGCGAAGCCCTCGACGTGGTCCTTCTCCTTCTCCAGCGACTTGGAGGAGAGGAACATGGGGAAGCTGGTCTCCTCAACACCCATCAGCTCAATGCGGTCCTGGAACCACTTTCGGATGACGTTCCAGATGTGCATTGACAGAGGGCGCAGGACGAAGAAGCCAGAAATTTCCTGGTAGTATTCGACCATCTCGCCCTTGAGAACGACCTCCTGGTACCATGCAGGGAAGTTCTCTGCCTTGGTGACGGTGATTCCAATGATGTCGTCGGTCTTCTTTCCGCCCACGACGGGGAGGGCAGCCTGCTTAGCGGCCTTTGCAGCCTTGTCGGCAGCCATCTTGGCCTGCTTCTCGGCTTTTTTGAGGGCGCTCTTGGAGGGCTCCTTGGGCTGGTCGGCGGCGTTCTCCATGGTGTTACTGTTGTTTCTGATAGCTGTCAGAGGAGGCTCGAGTTGTGACTCTGGAGTCTGTTGAACATCGACATTAAAGGTGTCAATACATACCTTTTATCGCACTACAAAGAGCTTGCCTTGAATACAACAAACGGCACGTCGGAATCCTGAGTCACTGTGCAGTGCAGGTCGCGCAACGAAAGAGTCAGTCGGCCGAGAAAAGAGAGTCACGAGAGGCTCAATGCCAGGCCTTTGCGTCTGCCCCGCTATCAGTTTGTCCCTCCTCACAAAGGAGGGGCAGCGCAGGATAAATTTCACCGTCCGCGTCCCCTGAGCGCCACCCAATCAGGGCTTGCCGCGCTGGGGGTTTCGGGGGCTTGGAGGGGCTGCCAGCGCTGTTGGAGGCACCGCCGTGCACTGTTTCAGTCTGTTTGGCAGCGCCGGAGCTGGAACAATCTGTGCTTCCGACAAAAAAGTCGAGGGGCAGCGGGACAAGTGCCGCCATTACTGAGCTTCGCAGCTTTGGCTAGGTAAGCCAAGGGTAGACAGTCAAGGCAGAAACTTGTCGAATCCTCGAGCCTCCACTCCTTTTCCCTTGTCTCGTCTTCCATCTCGATATCCCATTCACAGCGACTGTTAGGCGGCTTGTATCGTATAACGTCACAGCACTGCTTCAGCCATGGCAGCACTCTTCGAGCAGCCCCGGAACGGCACCCTTTTCCTCGGTGGCCAGAAGATTTCGGGATCCGATATTCGAGACCAAAATGGTGCGTTGGGCTGCTGCCGATGACTTGGACAGGGCGGTTACTGACGGATGCAGTTCTGGCTACACAAGCCATCGCCAATGTGGTGAAGAGCTCTTTTGGCCCCAGCGGCCTTGACAAGATGATGGTGGACGACATTGGCGTGAGTACATACACCGACTGCCCCTCGATTGAGACGACCGGAGCCCTTTGCCCCTATTCCGGATGCGAAGCAACTCGGACATGAACCACGACAGCTTGCTTACTATCTACTGCAAACAGGACGTCACGGTAACAAACGACGGTGCTACAATCCTTACCCTCCTCGACGTCGAAGATCCCGCCGGAAAGATCTTGGTGGACCTGGCCCAGCAGCAGGATAAGGAGGTTGGCGATGGCACGACATCAGTTGTTCTGATCGCCGCCGAGCTGCTCCGAAGGGGCAACGAGCTGATGAAGAACCGCATCCACCCCACCACCATCATCACCGGCTACAGACTGGCCTTGCGAGAGGCGATCAAGTTCCTCAACGAGAACGTCAGCATCAAGGTCGACAACCTCGGCCGAGAATCACTCCTCAACATTGCCAAGACCTCCATGTCCAGCAAGATCATTGGTGCTGATTCCGACTTCTTCGCCGACCTGGTTGTCGATGCCATTCAGGCGGTCAAGACAACCAACAACAGGAACGAGTCCAAATATCCCGTCAAGGCCGTCAACCTGCTCAAGGCCCACGGCAAGAGCGCTCTCGAGTCAGTCCTGGTCAAGGGCTATGCCTTGAACTGCACAGTCGCTTCTCAGGCCATGCCTACCCGCATTCAGGATGCCAAGATTGCCATCCTGGACATGAACCTGCAAAAGGAGAGAATGAAGCTCGGCGTCCAGATCACCGTCGATGACCCCCAGCAGCTGGAGGCTATCCGTGCTAGGGAATCCGGCATGATCATCGAGAGGGTAGAAATGATCCTCAAGGCCGGTGCCAACGTCATCCTTACCACCAAGGGTATCGACGACATGGTCCTCAAGATGATGGTGGAGAAGGGCGCCATGGGTGTCAGAAGATGCAAGAAGGACGACCTGAGACGAATCGCCAAGGCCACCGGCGGCACTCTCCTGAGCACACTCTCTGACCTGAACGGTGACGAGAAGTTTGACCCCTCATACCTGGGACACGCCGAAGAGGTCTTCCAGGAGCGCATCTCGGACGACGAGTGCATTCTGATCAAGGGCACCAAGGCCCACTCCTCCGCCTCCGTCATCCTGCGAGGACCCAACGAATACTCCCTCGACGAGATTGAGCGATCAGTCCACGATTCGCTCTGCGCCGTCAAGAGGACGCTAGAAAGCGGCAGCATCGTCCCCGGAGGCGGCGCCGTCGAGACCGCCCTCCACATCTACCTCGAGGAGTTCGCCGGCACCGTCGGATCCCGCGAGCAGCTGGCCATTGGCGAGTTCGCCCAGTCCCTGCTCGTCATCCCCAAGACGCTCGCCGTCAACGCCGCCAAGGACGCCGCAGAGCTCGTCGCCCAGCTGCGTTCCAGACACGCCCTGTCACAGCGCGTCCAGGAGGGCGACGCCAACGAGGACGAGAAGTCGATTGCCAAGAAGAAGAGCTACAAGAACTACGGCCTGGACCTCACCAAGGGCAAGGTCGTGGATGAGATCAAGCTCGGCGTGCTAGAGCCCACGATTAGCAAGGTCCGACAGCTGAAGAGTGCGGTCGAGGCTTGTATCAGCATTATGCGAATTGACACGCTGATCAAGCTGGATCCGGAGCAGAGCGCGGAGGATGATGGCCATGGACACTAATCTCGGGGAGAGGAAATGGGGTATGAAGAATAGACAAAAGAAATTTAAAATATTCAGTCTATAATGTTTTTCTTGGCTAACAAGCCAAATTTTGTTCTTTTTGCTTCACTCTCACTCCTTGATTTTTGGCTCCCGTCTCACTCTGTGTGATGAAATCATCGGTACATCCTCACTAACATGTTCTAAAAGCATTTCTTTCTTTTTTTTTTTTTTTCGTAAAACGTTTTTATTTATACAATGCTGCACATGGCTCACGTCTAAGAAACAAGGAGTTTGTGTGTCCCATTCCCAGCATCATGAGACACCATTCTTCCATTTCTTCATTCCAACCTCCCATCCCGCCGATAGACTTGACCGCCCAGAGAGAATCTATGTTTTTTTTTTTGTAATTCCGAGACGAATTATGTATTTTTGCTCGGGAGCTGTCTCATCTTCACCCATTTTAGTTCCCAAGACTCCCTCCTTCCCTGATACTGTTACATCGTTTGTGACAGGACAGTCTCCCCTCCCCCTCTCTTTTCCCCCCTCCAATTCCTTTATACATGTATTCGCGTTTTTTAACCAATGACAAGCTTGTCATCCTCGGGGAAGTCGTACTCGGGAATCTCCAGGTTGAGAGGCGCAGGGCCCTTTCGTATCCGGCCAGAGATGTCGTAGTGGGAGCCGTGGCAGGGGCAGAACCAGCCGCCAAAGTCACCGGCCTCGCCAATGGGGACACAACCCAAGTGGGTGCAGACACCCAGCATGACCAGCCACTCGGGGCGCTTGACACGGTCCTCGTCGGTCTGGGGGTCTCGGAGGGAGGCGACGTTGACTTTGTTGGCCTGGTCGATCTCGTCCTGGGTTCGGTGACGGACGAAGACGGGCTTGCCTCGCCACTTGATGATGACCTAGGGGAAGGAAGTTAGTCAAATGCGGTTCTTTTTTATATTCAAGGTTCGTCGAGTAAGCTCACGTTCTTGCCCTCGGGGATGGTGTTGAGGTCGACCTCGACCTTGGCCATGGCCAAAACGTCGGCAGAGGCAGACATGTTGAGAAGGAATTCTGCAGCACCCCACGTGTTAGCCTCGTGCACGAAAACAACCCAATTGCTCAATCCCTAGTCCCTCAAGCTCCAATGGCCTCGTATCAGCCAATTCCAGCTCATCCAGAGCACCAATTCCCATCCTCAACCCATTTCCCCCCCTCCCCCACACAAACAAGCATTAAACCCACCTTGAACAGTGCTCTTGGCTCCAGCAGCAGTAATGGCACCCATCGTACCAACCGCAAAGTACGAAAAGAGCTTGTTGGTGGTCTCGTTGCCCTTGGACATGTATTTGCTAAAGTCGGGGATCTTGCTGCCCTTGGACTCGCCCTTGAAGGGGCTGGTGTACGAAGCCGCTCCGGGAGCATCAGCCTGGCGCACGGCCGACGAGCTCAGCGCGCGCACGGCAGGCTTGGCCACGGCCGAGCGCAGGCACAGGCGGGAAGCGGTAGCGAGAGGCGCCATGGTACAAGGTCGAGGGGCGAAGGGCGAGAGGTCCAAGGTGGTGAGTTTGAGGTCTTTTCGCCGTTGCTTTTGGCTCTCTCGGGCTAACAAGGTTGACGGATTGCCGAAAGTTTTGGGATCCGGTTTTTCTGGCTCGTGGCCTGAGGCTGCCATGGTCAGCTGCGGTGGAAATTGCGGCGCGCTGATTCGCCGGGAGCTTCGGCGTCCCGGTCTGTTCCGCCTTTGGTAAGCAATCGACTGATGTCAACGGGGGACTGGGGCCGTTCTGGAAGGGCATTTGATATGGAATTGATATATACCTTACATATCAACAGATGTTAAAAAGGGAGATGAAATCAGGTCTTTTCTCTTTATTTTTTATATTTTTATTTTGGCAATTCATCCTACACGTACCTACAGTAATAACGCAAGCAACTACTAACCTGAAAGATAGCATCGGAACGTAGGTAGCTCATTCGTGAACCGACTCCACCACCACCGTCTGTGAAACTCAATGCCAGGCACTAATACCTCGCAACCTGTTGTCATATCGCCATCTTCCATCATGTATACTCGTAAATCCTTTCGATCCAGCAACGTGCCATGCATCAGCCTTAGTGCATCCTTCTGAGCTCCTCTATCAGGTTCCGCATGTCTTCGACGCTTGGTCCCAGTCCTTCGCACATCAGCCCCTGCTGATTCTCGTCCAAGTCCAAGAACCTCTCAATCATCTCACCGTCCACGAATCGAAAAGGGGCTTCACCCTCCCTAGCCTGATTTCTAAACGCCCGCCAAGTGTCAAACGACAGATTTCCGGGCGTATGGATATACTCTTGTAGCCTTGATTGGAACTGCATTAGCAGATCCTGGTACTTGGGGGCAATGTCGCCGTAGAGGTAAAGAGTTCCCTCAATCTATTTGTCCAGTCAGTCAGTTTCAGCTCGCCATTCCTTGAGAGATACGTATAAGGCTTACCGAGCCCAAAAATGCTTTTGGTACCACAATGGCATTTTCAGCAGGCGCAACCTGAATCTTTCGAATCCGGTTGATCTGCTCCCCAATGTTGAGTTCGCTTATAATCTCCAGCTGGCTGCGATCTTGCTCTGTAGGTGCTTCTTGATTTTGCCTGAGCACAATGATATTGCCCTGAGCATCCGCTTCTAGCCACCTAGAATCGTCCAGTGCGCTGACCGACGTAGTCCAAGCTTGTTGATAGTGCCTTGCCTTCTCTTCCAGCGTTGCCTTCTTACCATCTTGACCCGGTGTGAATTCGACAAGAGTAAGGGATTGCATGAGATCACCAATACCGATAATGTTACCAGAGATGTCCAGATCGACTGGGAATGACGCCGGGCGGAACGACGCCAGTTTCTTTAAACTAGCAGCCGTCGACGTCTCTTGGGTGAAAGAATAAACAACCACCGTCTTAGTCAGTCCGGCGACAATGTAGTCATCCATGATGCCTAAGCAACGGCATACTCCTTTCAAGTTATGGGAGGCGATTTGGTACAATTGCCGCGACTCGTCGACACCAAGGACCAGTATTCTACCTCTCGTCTCTCCTGCTTCCTCTGTGCCAGGGTCTGCGACAAAACTCGTGCCGACCAAGAATCTCTCGGCCAAGACGCCGTTACTGTCTGGTAATTCGGCCCGAATTATGCACTCGACCAGCTCCAGTGACGCGGAGGCATTGAGCTCAAATGGTTTTCCTAGCTCCTGGAAGATGATCTCGTCGACTAGCTTGATGGTGCTCGTAATGACCTCCTCGTTGTCAGCGAGCTCCTTTCGTATACAACCCAGTCCAAAGGCCTTCAAGCCCGGTGAATAAGCTACACGACGAACGGTCTCGCTCATGGGAAGTGCTTTGACGTGGGTAAGCCTTTCGTTATCAACTTGGCAGATCCTGATATGATCTTCCGTTGACAATACGATAGAGTCTGGGAATGCTTCCGAGTCGAACGGAGCCACGAATGTCGCATCATCAGCTGTCGTTGCTGAGTAGACAACACGCCCTTCTGAGCTGTAGATTAAGCTGGCATGCTCAGTAGTCGCAAACACGTTGCAGATTCCGTCCGCTCGGGGTAGAACGTGTAGTCGTGCCGGACCGCTTCCCAGTGTGACGGTCTTCCTGCCAGATACCGAGAAGCCTTTAACTGAGACATTGAAGCTAATGACGTTTCCATCTTCCAATGCCACCAACAAGGTTGGGCCCGAGACGTCAGGGGGGTGTAGCTGGACGAGCGCTACGTCTCGTGGGACTGAAGAACTGTCGTCTGTCTGCCTCAGCGGCTCACCGTGGAGTGGTGTCAAAGTCGCCAAATCTACGACTGAAATCGTTCCCGAAGTCCACCAGCCAACCACACCAAAGTCTTGAGGCTCGCGCGCCGCATGTAAGCATGATATTTGATCGGGTTGTCCGGATACTGAATCTTGTGAAGCGTTTTGGATAACCGCCTTTAAGCCGTCAAGAAGGTTTAGGGAAACCAATATCGATCCATCTATAGACAGCAAAGCCCACTTGGTATTGGCAGACGCCGCCGTGATCACTTTGCCTTCGGGTGACTGCCATGAGCCCAAAGAAGCCCCGCTGTCAGGATCCAAGAGATTGACAACTCGAGGTGTTATTTGCAGCAGCTGACCATTTGGCAGGTTTGCAGCCAAGAGCGTCTCCGATTCGAGATCCATTCCCTGAAAGGAATAAAGCTCCTCAATGTTATCGGGCTCAAATCGGAGAACTCGAGTTCCAGTTAGCGTGGATATGACAACGGTATCGGCCTTTTCCGAGTCCACTGATCGCAAGGTGAATAGCCCCCTAGTGCCCTGGATTTCATCCAAGAGACCACGGTCTTCAAGGCCAACACCGCTACGAATACTCCGTAGGCTTCCGTCCTGGTAAGCACCACAGCCGGCCACAATTCTCGCCTGCCCTGATGAAAAGTTGTTGCCAGACTGTGCGTCCCCCTCTCTGTTTCCCAGATCCATAATGGTAAAGTCCATGATGGGTGCGTTGTTGGATAAAACTTTGACAAGAGCCATCTGCTGGGTTTCAACATCGATATGTAAAAGCTGAGAGTCGCCATGGTGTGAACCAATAAACAGGAGATTGTTTCCCATATAAACCAAGCTAGACGCTCTCGATGTATATCGGCTCGAATCTGGAAAGGATATCGGATGGACTTCCATGCCAGTGACCACCACACCGGTTGATTCATTAGTAGTTTTGATCTCAAGTAGATCAAGACGGCCGTAGTCGTCAGCCAAGAAGTAATGCGTCCCGTCATACTCGGCCCAAGCAACATATATCTTGGGGTCCTCAAGTTCGGATTCCACGCTCGAATATGTGAGGCTATCAAAATATGTAAGAAGCGTCTCTCCGACCACAAGAAGGCCGCCCAGATGTGCCCTGGCTCCCTCGTTATTGCGTACATGGTATCGCTTCTCCTCAACAACTGGAACGGGTATGAGCATGGACGCATAAGGATCACGAATGACCTCGTCCAGTTCTCTGTGCTTTGGGTCAAACTTGGACGAAGCGGCGCCCTTATCGTCATCCGTCAGTCGATAAATAGCAACCCGAGCTTCTTCGCGGTCAAGCTGGTTCTTGTAGAGAAACGCGATTCTCGGATGGCCGGTCCGACTGTGTAGGAATACGCTCGACTTCATCCATAACTCAGTCAACCGGACCTGGTCCAGCACTTCAAGCTTCGTGGTCGACCCCTTGCGTATCCGCAGGCGAAAGACGTTCAGCACTCCCTCCCAAAGGTGCATGGCCATGAACTTGCCAGTGGGATCCACGAGGCATCTGTTCTGGCTCTGCGATTGCCGCATATATGGTTCTGCTGAATCGTGTATCGTCTGCTCGACGGCATCTAGCTGATTCGTTTCGGGGTTCCAAGCTATATTGAAGTATTGTAGCCTATCCGTGCCAATAAACAGAAGGTCTGTGGCGGAATCCTTGGGCTGCAGCCGCTGGAGCATGTCTATGGTGCCATGGATAACTTTTGTGTGGAGGCACGTCATGCCCTCCTCGGTGACTCGCCATATCTCCAGTCGGTTTGCTTTCCTATGCGTCGATACGAATGAGCAAATGACATGCAGGCAATCGGAAGCCGTAGGAAACACTCACGCAACGACCAAATCCTCGATATCTGGCGACAGGAACCGGATGCGCAGGGCGTGCCTGATGCTGGTCGGCTTGTGGACTGGCGCGACATACGCCATGGTGGAGGAACGAATCGACTGCGAAAGAGAGAAGCGTTGCAGGCTTTAGTGCATAGGCTACATGGAAGGGCCCTGATGCTCTGAACGGCCCAAGGGTGAAGCTTGAGAGCTGTTGCGTCAAGCCGGGGATCGCAACTGAGCGGGATGTTTATCACTTATCGGAGATAGGCAGCCCGCCATATGTAAGCGGCTTCTAGCACCTTGTAATGGCGTTGATTTGGCGGGGCACGCAGCTTAGTGATCCCAGAAGGGTGAATAAAATGTTAGTGGCATTATTAGTTCCCGTGAACCTAATAACCTGTAATGAATTTGATATAAGATCATATCTTAGTTTTTAGAATGGAATTTATGATGAATGTTCAAAGTGATTAAATTCTTTATTAATGAGATTAGATGTTACCTAGAGTGGTTTCTTAGTGAGTTTTCTGTTGATAGGTACATAGGTGCCTTTGAGCCTGCAGATGTACAGGTATTTAGCAATCAAACTGATCCAATCATGGCCGACCTTACAGAGGAGCAGGTCAACGCCCTCATCGTCATTGAGCGCACTTGCTCACCTTGCGATAACCCACCTATGTATGAACTTGGCTCAACGAACATCACAAACAACATACACCGGAATTGGACAAATCCTGTCTAACTGCTATAAGGACCAAGGCGCGAGAAGCAGTCAGGGAACTATTTGATGTCGCTACCACTAGTAACGATCTCGGCTAAGGCCATGTTCAACCAGATAGCTCGTCTTGTCTTTTTACCTAGGTACTGGGCTATGAGGAAACGTTCTGCATTTGGTTATACCAGAAGCTGGGCCAAGCCAGGCTTAGTCACCAATCCTACACGTAGCTATCAATTACCAGACCAGTCGAATTCCTCTATCCAAACGGCACCTAATATTACCCCTCAAGTGCTTCCTTTACATCTTGCCGTTAGGCCCCCATAAAACCCCAGCCTTAAGACTAGCGACTGCGAGTATTAGTTCAATTGTCAAATAAACATCCGAAATGGGGCTTGGAAAGCTGAAGGAGAAACTGCGTATTGGTATCTCCAAACGCAAAGACAATCAGGGAGGGACCTCCATTGCCCAACCTGTGCAGGAGGATTCGGGATCTGAGACCAACACATCGTCTATCAAGAAACCCAACCACAACGATTTAGTTGTTGAATCGGAGGGGTCGTCAAGACAATCCAAACCTATCTCTATGAATCATATTGACAAATCAAATTTGCCAGAGAAGTCGTTGCCGAATCTCAATGAAAATGTCGAGTCAATCAGAGAGTTATGGAGCCTAGCATACGAGAGGTTACGGAGGGAGGATCCCCAACTCATAAATGACTACGAAAATAAGGCACGAGAGAGCCTGACCGCTGGTCTTGGCTATACGATTGGCTCAAAAACCAGCATAAGAGAGCGAATGGACGCAATTCTCCGCAGCAAGATGGACGAGAACAACAGAGACGCGTGGAAAATTAAATTTGGCGGTTCCGAAGTCCAAGTGAAAAATTTAGTACAGCCTGTCCTGGGCGTCGTGAACTGGGCCAATGAATACATCACTGGCGCTCTGAAGCCAAATCCGTACGCTTCGATAGCGTGGGTAGGTGTTAGTCTGATACTACCGGTGAGTCGATTTTGGAACATCTCGTATGCAGGCCCATGGGTTACCAAGCCTTGACTGATCATCTTAGCTCTTCATGCATCCCTCCGAGCAAGGAACATCACTAGCGAAGGGCTTGGAATATATATCTTCCCTAATCGTCCAGAGTCGTATGCGAGAGGATCTCTACGTCCGGCGCTACGAGGCCACAACTCATGGCCGGGAATTGCCTCAATTATCCCACGTCGTGTATAAAGACAGCTTGGAGATGCTATATCGATCTATCCTGAGGTTTCAGGCCACGAGCTACTGTTATTATGCCCATAATGCAGCTTTCCGTTTAGGGCTGGATATTGTCAAGTGGGATGACTGGAGCCTGTTGCTGGGCCAGATTCAAGAGCAGGAACGCCAATTCGCCGCTGTTGAAAATCTTTGGCGGGATATGAAGTACGACGAAGAATCCTCAGCCGCTGAGAGACGACACCAGGAGACTTTACATCACTGGGGCAAGATTGGCACAGACCTCTCAAGTCTGCGCAGCGCAGTTGAGCGTGCTCAGGATGAGAGCAGTCGGCGACATGTGCTAAGATGGCTCTGCGACGTCGATCCTTCTGAAATGTATAATGCCGCTCGCGATAAACATAAAGCTGGCACTGGTGACTGGTTAACGAAGGAGAGCGAAGAATTCAAGGCTTGGGAGGCATCTCCAGCTTCTCTTCTGTGGCTTCACGGAAAGGGTTCGTCTCATGATGCAACTCGTCAAGCACTCATTTACTAACAATTGGTAGCCGGTTCTGGAAAGTCTGTCTTGAGCTCGGTGGTTATCAAACACCTACAAGATCAAAACGCGACCGATCCCTCGACTGCACTCGCATACTTTTTCTTCAGCTTCAGCGACCTGGAGAAGCAGAAAGTAAACAATATGCTTTCATCGCTAGTCAAACAACTCTGTTCTCGACGCCCCGATACCCCTCCGCCAATTCAAAGCCTCAACGAATACATGGAGAAGGGTCAGCGCCCAGATACGCAGACGCTTGAAGCCATGCTGACAGCGGTCGCAAGAGGATTCTCAGCTGTTCACATTGTCATTGACGCCTTAGATGAGTGCCCGACTCTTCAGGGGGAACGGAAGAAACTCCTTAGCAGCTTGCGTCGTATCATTACTGCTGCGCCTGCAAATTTCCACGTCCTATGCACGAGCCGGAAAGAGGCCGATATCGATGCAATAATGAGCTTTCTTTTGTCCCCATCTTCAAATACAGCCGCAATCGATCTGACTATTCGTCGAGATGTCCTAGACCGCGATATCGGCATGTTCATCGATTTGACTCTGGCCTCTGAAGAGTACAGTTCATGGCCAGAAGTCATCAAAAAGGAAGCAAGGGACTCGCTGATCGAGAAAGCGGATGGCATGTTAGTATTGGAAACACATATAGTGCGCATGTAGCACGCAACATCTAACGGCGCGCTCAGGTTCCAATACGTCTTCTTTCAGCTTGAGGCCCTCCAGCAACTCTCGTCCGCTTCTCTCGTCCGCAAGGCGCTCCAAGAACTCCCTACTGGCCTTGATGCGACGTACGATAGGCTGCTCTTGAGCCTAGACCTCGCATTCCAGTCCCAGATAATAAGCTGCTTGAAGTGGCTCGCCTTCTCCAACGAAGTACTCCTGCTGGAGCAACTCGCTGAGATATTCATCCTTTACCCCAACCGCACCCTTCCTTTCGATGAAGAAGGGCGGCTTTTCCATTCCGCAGACGTTCTCAAGTACTTATCTAGTCTGATCGTTGTTCAAGAGAACTGGGAACAAGACTCGGGCACATCTGCTGGTTCTTCTGATGGGTGCTTTGTTGCGTACGTTCGACTGGCTCACTTCTCGGTAAAGGAGTACCTCGTCTCGAATCGCATCGCCGAAGGCTCCGCCAAAGTCTTTTCGTTTGGCGAAGCCGACGCTCATCTGCATATCGCGCACTGCTGCCTGGCTTACCATCTGCAGCACACCGCCACGACCGAATATAACCGCTGGGAACTGAAGTTGATGAGCTACGCAGCCGCCAACTGGCCACTGCACCTCGAGATGGTGCCACGCGCATCTTGGCCGGCTGAGGTAACACAAGTCGCGACGCGAGCCCTCGCAGCCCGCAGTGCAAGCTTAGACCTCATGATTGAAGAGAACAAGTGGGTGCATTACTACGCCAAACATTCATCCCCCACCATGCGGCTACGACCGCAGTGCTATACAGCGCAGCGTGGCTTCCTTCAGCTTACTGAGATGATATTCTCTCACATGAATATATATTCGACACAAGAAGATTTAAACGTGGCTCTCCATGATGCGGCCTACGGAGGGAGCATAGCGGTCGTCCAATTCTGTCTTGGTAAGGGCGCCGAGGTCAATTCGGAGCGTGAGTTCTTCGGAGATGCTCTACAGGCGGCAGCCTATATGGGACATGACACAATCGTGAATATCTTGCTGGACAAGGGCGCCGACATCAATGCGCAGCGTGGCAATTGGGGCTCGGCTCTCCAAGCTGCCGCGGATGGGGCACGGCCTCATGTCCTGAAGCTTCTTGTTAGCCGTGGGGCCGATATTGACCTCCCTTCGAACGAGTCTGGTTGCGTTCTTACATCCGCCATGCGGTTTGGCTCACATTTATATTGGGATTGCTTTCTGTACCTTGTTGATGCCGGCGCCAACCTGAATAGGCGAGGCGGCGATATCTACGGAACAGCGCTCCATAAGGCAGCAGCAGATCAACACTTGAGTACACACTTCCATTTACTACTAGAGCGAGGGGCGGATGTTAATGCACCAGGTGGTGAATATGGCTATCCGCTTCAGGCAGCGTGTGCACAGTCTGACCGTAGTCAGACGGTCACAACGTCCGAGATTTACCAAGCGGTCAAGCTATTACTAGACAGAGGCGCTGATGTGAATGCAAAAGGCGGCAAGTACGGCAATGCGCTACAGGCAGCGTGCGCGGCACGAACAAAGGATTACGCTTTGATCACGCTCTTGTTGGACAGAGGCGCTGATGTGAATGCGAAAGGCGGCAAATATGGCAACGCACTACAGGCAGTTTGCGCGGGATCCTATTATTCCTATCCACTAACGAGTGTGAAGCTTTTAATTCGCAGAGGCGCTGATATCAATGCGGAAGGGGGTCATTACGGAACAGCTTTGCAAGCAGCATGCGGAAATAGTGGCAAAGACGTGGTGCAAATTCTATTAGAGAAGGGCGCTGATGTGACTATTCAAGGAGGAGAATATGGGAGCGCCTTGGCTGCAGCGTCAGGCGCTTGGTCGAGCGCGGAAACAGTTCAACTGCTGTTGGATCACGGCGCCGACATCAACGCCACCGCCACCGGAGGTGAAATCGGAAACGCGATAAACGCTGTGATACACTCCCGGAACACCAAACTTCTAGGCCTGCTGTTAGATGGCGGCGCCGATATAGACGCACAAGGAGGAATCTACGGCACGGCACTGCAACGGGCTTGCGCTGAAGGCTCGCTCGAGATGGTACGCTTGTTGCTTACTCGGGGAGCCAACGTCAACGCCCAAGGAGGGAAGTACGGAACCGCGCTCCAAGCAGTTTGCGCCCATGCTTTTGAGTACAATTCACCCACCATCACTATATTCAACCTCCTGCTCGAATATGGAGCCGACGTCCATACGCAAGGTGGCTCTTTCGGCAGCACCTGGCACGCGGCGGCGGCGCAGACAGAGAGCGATATTCTCAGCGCGCTGCAGCAGTTGCTGGACCGTGGCGTTGATGTCAACGACTCGCGTGGAACGCAGCATCCCACAGCCCTGCAGGCTGCCTTGGCCTTTGAAACTAGAAGCAACCACTATGCCGCAGTCGATCGGATCCGCTTCCTGCTCGATCGCGGCGCTGACGCCAGCCTCGCAGCCGGTATATATGGCTTCCCGCTGCAGTCGGCGTGCGCGATCGAGTTTGGCGGATACGTGGCTGCCTTTCTCCTGGACAACTGTAGCGGCCTCGACGTCAATAGGCAAGGCGGATTATTCGGATCAGCTCTGCAGGCAGCAGCGTGGGCGGGACAAACGGGTTCAGTGAAGATACTGCTAAGCAAGGGAGCCGATGTCAATGCACGCGGCGGTAAATATGGCAGTGCGTTGAATGCGGCAGTTGTTAAGGGTTATTGGGATATTGTTGAGGTACTGCTTGATCATAAAGCAAAACCAGACTGCTTTTTGCTCCAGGATGCTGATGAAGCTTGGCTTTCGCTTATTCGGGAGGAAAGTGGTCAAGGGGCGATAGAAAGGTATCAAGTGTTTTGGGAAAAGCAAAAATTGCTATTAGACAAAGCAGATGAGTCAATTGGAGCATAGGAATTAGATCAAGGTACATATTCATGTTAATATATAATAAATGATATCACACTAGCCACTACTAATAGTCTATAAGGCATGCAGTAATGGACCTTTGTTGTTCTGCAGGGTACATATGCTGGCTGATGTCGGCTGCAGAGTTACGCCAGCTCAACTCCTCTACGGAAGTGAACGCCAGGTTCTGTAAACACGCCCACAAACTGGAACCCTCTAATTTGAATCCCCTGAGATATCTAGTAGAAGGTATTCATCATGCCGGGTGCCGTATCGTGAGTCACGGGAAGATTGTTATCGATATCAATCACCTCCCGCCTCAATCAACCATCGCTCTTTCCCATACTATTGTAATGGAGGCAGAGGTTCTAAAGATCACGCCAAATTGGCCACAACCAAGAATAATCATTTACCTTCATCTAACGCCGCACTCTTCATAAATACTAACCAATTCTTCTTTATGTCTCGCAGCCATAGGAGCCACGATATACATGAATATTGGTATTCAGCATGACACCAGCCCCAGGCAAACCCATCGAGCGGACAGAAACGGCTGACGAATATGGTCGTCGCGAGAACTGCTTCAAAAACCATAGGCGACACCCATTTACGTTTCAATCCCATGTGACAGACATACAGAGCGCAAGAGAGACTGCCGAAAAGGATGGATTTGTATCCCAGCCGGGATTGAAAATGGTTCCTCTCCCAAACCCACAACTCACAGGAGATGTCTTTGACCAGCATCAACATCACCGGGAGAATCTCGAGAAGCTTCTCCACGATTCTCCATCAAAAATTTCCCTATCGGCTTCCAACAGTCTTACGAAAGAGCTTTTGTTTCCGGTAGGAGAGCTGGACTTGGGATCTTGTCATGAGAGTGATCTCCAAGAGTACCTAGACCAGGTTCATACCAAGAGATACAGTGATCCTTTCAAGCAATGGATCCCCTTCGCTTGCACAAGACCAGATAAAGATGAAAGTATAAGTTTTCCGCCTGGTCTTACCTGGTTATGGGAACTTCTACATCGTGAACTTGACAAAGATGCACCTGACTTATCAGAGGCCGCCGCGAATCTTGTGAGTGAACAAAGCAAATCGCTGATAGCTTCCGAACATGAGATTTTGCTTCTACAACAAACACCAATCAAGCCAGTGAGTCAACTTTACTGCTTGGATCGTTATTGTCCAATGTGACTGATGGATTTGTAGTATCAATACAGCTGCCTAGACCCTATTTCGCCCCCCTTATCTCCAGTATCAGACGACACTGCACCGTTTATCCCTAATAGTGGTGCGGCAGTGGTAGATCTTGTATCAGAACCAAGTAGCCCTGACCGGATCGTTCTCGAGGCCATTCAGCGGGACATGGACTCAGATCCTATTATTTCGTCCACTTTCATGACATCACCAATCGCTGGAGAGTTACCACAACTCTTCCAAACATGTTACCCCCTGTTTCGAGAAGCCGAAGTCGAAGCTCCTGTCGTCCTTACTAGCTCAGATACCCTAAGCGAAACCAACGCACTCACTGATATCCACCTGCCTCTGATCGGTGATGACGACGAGAGTGTCTCCAAGTCACTCGAGGAAACAGGGAATTTTGAAGATGCTTTCATGACACTGCTTGAGGACCGGCATTATTACGCCAACCAATTGGTGAATCAAGAGAGTTTTTATCCAGCTGACTCCCTGTGTCGTGCTACTGTCCCTCTGCTTGATTTCGACATCCCACCTCCTGAATGGTCCCTTAGGCACTTTACCGCGAAGACTCATTTTGCATTCTTGAGGAAAAGTATACCTCACTGTTTCAATATTTTGTCAATTCCGCGGGACCCATCTTCAGAATCTTCTCTTAGGTGGGCAGTTTTCCCCTTGGACAAAATGCAGCCAATAATGGTGGACGAAATCGCGGTGGCAGATGATATAATTGCAAAATATCTTTCTCTTGACTCTACCTCTCTTTTAAGCAGTCTCGATTTCGTTTCGATAAAGCCAAGTTTGGATGTCTTATGTATTCAACAAGACGAAGAAGTCGAATCGGTATACTCATTGAACGACGAACCTGACGAAGCGCCCCCTGCTAGCACCCAGCATCATGAGAACCCAAATTGGATGAACTTGGAGCAAGGAAACAAAACATGCATCTCAGAGGATTCTCACAAAGTTAATCGCCCGACTCGTAGGAAACTCGACGACGATGGCCCAAGACTATTACCAAAGTCTTACGACACGAGTGCCACGAGCATCCTCCTCCACAACTTTATGGAACTAAGGGGCATGAAAAGACCGCGCTTGGGTACGGAACCCGCTGCAATGAGTCAATATACAGTTGCAGGTACTTTGCCGTCTATACCTCGCAGCGAAATATCTGCAACCAACGATCGTGACACAGTCCCTCTCCAGATGGCTGAAGAGATGCCTCCCGTGCCAATTCCTTACATTGAGATACCATCCGAAAAGGCGTCTTTCATCATTTCTGTTGATCTTGCTAGGCCTATATTGAGAAAATTAGAGAACATGTGGGCTCCGGAGAAGTTAATCGACGTGGATTTTTCCCGCCACAACACCACCGTCTTGCTACCAGGGGTTACTCAGTCCAAAGAGGTTGTCTCGCCTTTAAGTTTCGAAGCTGATATATCCCTTTCGCCTAGTACAGGAATCATCATCACGAATATTCTCAAGGTCAAGCAGCGTTCCCTTCCAGGCTCTCAGTCCCAAACTCCACTACGGGAGCGCGTACAGAAAGTGAGCCAGAGATATGAAACTCTTATTGTTCTAGTATCAGAGTCGCAGCCCAAGGGAGAGTATATGGGAACAATGGCTCCATCAGATACAGCCGCATATGCTGAGTTTTCGAGCTTTGCAGTTGCACTAGATGGGGATGTCGATGTACACTTTATCCCAGGAGCAACAGAGACAATGGCTTCGTGGGTTCTGGCTTTTATGTGTCGATATTCCCCAAGATCCGCAGCGCTATCAAGGTTTTTGTCTTCTGAAGAAACTCCGTGGGAGATATTCCTCAGGAGAGCGGGCATGAATATTATCGCTGCCAAGGTACTTTCCAAAACGCTTTTCGAACAGGGCGGAGTGTCGGGATTGGCCGTATTTCTCAACATGCCGGTGCCAGAACGAGTTGCCAGATTTGGACCATTGGTCGGCGGAGAAAAGGGGTTGCTCCTGACAGCAAAAGTAATAGATCGAAGATGGGGGGACTAGCCTCCTCAGCATATTATCATTCGGACGTTAGTCTCGGTGGACAACAGTGGCGATGTGAGGATCTCTGGTGAAAGAATTTTGGGCTTCTACATTGAAACCAACTGTACGTTTGGCATCTCCAGTACCACCTCTATTCGTCTAGATGTATTAAATGAACGGAACATATATGTCTAGTAAACAATATACTCAAGAAGATGCCTGTATATGGTGAGGGCGTGAGGTCCTGTATAACCCAAGTCTCCACATTCTTTACTCTGTAAAGATTATACTCGTCCATCTTTGGCTACACTCAGCAGATTTCCCACAAAGGTCGTGGAAGGTGGTTAATGAGAGGAACAGCCTTCTTCAGCTGCGGAACTTGCTTCAAGCCGATGTATACTACCCTCTGGGCGTTGGCCAAGGTGACTGACCTTGATGTCAGGCCGTAGTAATCCGAGATGGCATGTGTAAGCCACCGCCTGGAGATGGATATCAGGTTAGCCTTCTTACATTCACACAGTGTATCACGAGGAAAAGGGAAACTCACTTGAAAGCAGCGCTCTCATCATCGCCAAAGGAATCAAACACCAGCCCCGAGTCAACCGTCTCCTGTGACACTTGTCGGTGGGCAGTCCTGTACCTTGCGGCAGCAGCAGCCGCAGCAGCCCTCTTCTCCTGCAAGTCTCTCATTCTGCCGTTGCGGCCCACGAAGACAATCTCTTCATCATCAGAGTCCATCTCCTCCGCCGCGCTATCCACGTCGTCATCATTGCCATTGTCGGCTTGATCCTTGGCCTTTCGCCCCCGACGCTCGTCAACCATGTACTGTCGCACAGGTTCCTCAAGGGCCTTGACCCAGGTGCGGATTACCGGGCTGCGCTTGGTCGCTTCTCGGAGGTCGCGCGGCACCTCGCCCACGCCGAGGCCTGTTGCACTGCCGGTCTTGAGCTGCTGCTTCTTGCGCGCGGCCTGGAGCTTCGCCGTCTTGTCCTGGATGCGCTGGCGCACGCCGTGGTCCCAGAACTGGGCGAGCTGATACGGGACTCGGTGGATGGGATGTGTCGGGTGGACTTCCCAGTCGACGGGCTCGGGCGGCTGGACGTTGGGAACGTGCATGAGACGATCTGTTCAGGGGATATTTCCCTTCTTCATCAGCGACCTGTGTCTTGAGGTGCTTGGAACTTGTCTGATTCAGACAAGGCAGTATTCAATACCATTCTCCCATCGCCGACGCTGCCGGCTACCTTCCTTGCCCTTCAGGATGGCCTCTCTGCGCTTCTGACTGTCCCGAGCAGATGGCGGTCTACGAGGAGCAGTGACAACGGTAACCTGGACTTGCTCGGCAGCGGTTGTGATGGTGACCTGCTGCCGGCTAGCAGAGCGCTTGGAGGGCGTCGGGAGCGCATCGAGAGGGATCGATAGAGGGCTTCCGGTGCCGCGGGCAACGGGCGAAACGCTGAGCGATTGAAGCGCCGAGATGGTCCAGGCCTCGATGTCGATGGGAGCGCCAGATGCCGGAGCAGCTGGGAAGATGATGCTTGCCGTAAGCTGGCTGGGAGGAGGGGTCTCCTCAGGGGGCGGGACAGCGCTGTACATGGCCATGGTGACGATTGACTTGTGTATGGAGGACGATGTCGAGAAGTGAGGTTCGATGAGGTTTCAAGCTGTTTTGTTCGAATGAGCCTCTGCGACGGGATTCCAAAGTCCTACACCGGACAACGGGCTTGATCAGGGGAAGATGAGATGCGACGAGCGAGGCAGCAGCAAGGATTGCCTATCAAGCTGACGTTGCTCCCTATATCTGCATACTTGGATGTCTCCATCGCGTCTCCTCCTGACACAGTGTGATTTCATCGGCTATCTCCAGCCAATCATGGCTCGGGCGCAAGCCATGAGGAGAGATTTACTGGCCTGGGCGGAGGGTTTTGCGCACACAATTCGCGCGTAAAGTGGCTGTCTTGTGACGGAGGCGTTATGATTTGACACTGTGTGAGGCTCAATGTCGTTTCCCTATATAACCAACTGCTCGCAGCATCTCACACGCTTCATTCTGCTGGACAAACTACTTGGGTTTTTTGTGTGTCTATTCTTACGTGAAGCTGTCCACCGCATGGCCCTTCACTGCTCTTTGCCATACGTCCAACATTGGCATTTCCACCTCTTAATCGCACTGTTTCCACCTGCCCAATGGACGTATCGGCGAATTTCCGTGTCTCCATATCCAGAATAGCCTCTTGTGACTCACGTCGAAGGACTCATCTTCAAGAGGGGAGAGAAAAATGACAAGACAAATTGAAAAATGCAGTCAGACCGGGTAATCTTGGCTATTGTAGCAGAGATGGCAATATTACATCATTGCCTCGTTTGGCTGGTGTAAGCTTGTGATGTGATGCTTTTGGTTCGCTTCCCACAAGCATCTCAAGACAAGACCAAAGCCGCTGCAGTTAAAATAGCACCCGCACCCTCCCAGATCGACGCGGCCTTCCAATTCTGCGCCCAGAATACCGTAGCTGTAAGCAGCCTCATCGGAACAGTAGCGGCGAAAAATGCAGTGTTGTTTTGGTACGCGGCCAGTGTGTAGTAAATGCCCATGGCAATGGCTGCCAGAGCGTTGCCTTTTACGGCTGGTAGGGCGCCTGTGGGGAGGTTGAGGGATTCGATCATTAGATTTGGTGAGATGAGTGAAGCCCATCCCGAGATGAACGAGGTTACGCCAAAGGCGAGGATTGTGGCGCGAGGGATGGACGGCATGGTAGTGAATCTCAATGAAGATGTGATGTTATTAGTGAAGTCTGGAGTAAGAGATGGAGTGTGGTTCTCTGTGTTGAGTTTCAAGGTCGAGTTCTGCTCTGTTAAATACCCGGTTCATATGTGGTAGCATCGAGTTCTTTTAGGTTCTCAGAATAGGTAAGCTTAGTTGATCAGCAAGACATACCAGCGAAGCTAGAGTAAGGCGGAAGACGGATGTGAAGCTAATTATAGCAGAGCTTTTATTTTAAAACATGGAGGTTGGAGGTTGCATCTAAGCTGCGAGACGTGGGCCTAGATATAATGCAGGGCGTGACGATGCTTCTTTTCAAGATCTGTTAATGATAATCCTTATCACAACCACGGCAATACATCTGCTGTTTCTAACTGTTAATATGCGTATATCAATAAATTGTTTGATATGAACTGATATTGTTCACTTATGGGAAGCTAAAGTACGGAGTGGTTCTTTGTTGTTAGCAAGATCTAAGAATCAAGTTTACTGGAGGCTCCACATCAAACAGCCTAGACAGAAACATTTTCCATGTTTCTTGGGTATGGACTCACGAATCGTACTAGGGAAGCACAAGATTACTTCAACATACTCTTGTGCTTTCAGTCTGCTCGAGATCTAGCATATATGTAATTACCCACGCATCATCTTGGCCATGAACAATGGCAAAAAGAGCAAAAAAGAATGCCGTAGCGAGGAATCGAACCTCGGCCGTCAGTGCTTCGCTTGGTCCACAAACTGATATACTACCACTATATTACTATGGCTAGTGCTCTTGAGAGTGGCTCGAAGGCTTATTATTTCTATTCATAAAGAGCAATCTCCATAGACAGGAGTCCTCAGTCAAGTCTCAAGATTACATGTACGACAGGGTGCTCACCACCTGTCTTCTAAGCGCTGACGATGATCCCTGCTTATGTCTTGCGTTCAGATCTAGAGACGTTCCTACGCTATAAATAATTTCAAGACCACGATGGTAATTGGTGAGGCATCGATATAAATAGAGTAAACCACGCACGTGGAGATGATTAAAACAGACGTCAAGTTCCATTGGAAAAGTCAATTCGACAAGGTACCTGGATGGCGAGATCTGCTTTTAGATCTAGATTAGGTACTAGATATCTGGTGGCGGGTGGGTCGTCCGCATTCCTCTATGGAGGGGCACCAACATTTTCAACACGACTGACACGCAGCTTAACACCACTGCAATCACATCGCATCTCAAGCTGTCACCGGCATCATCACGACCCAAACCATGGCTTTGCCTCTCCCCCTGGGCCTGGTGCCCTCAGAGGCCGCCTTTCTGTGCGAAATGGAGCTCGTCACCGTCGTTCCCCGCCAGCGCCTCGAGAGCATTGAGCTTCTCTCGGTCAGCCATTCCAATTCTATTCTACGCAGAGAAAGCCATCCCTTCGTCTTCGTCTTCTGACCATGTTGAACAATAGGGCTCGACTCCCAAGCTTCGCCCGCCACACCGCGCTGATCTGCCTCTCTGGCTAGCAATTCTACTCAAAAAGCAGCGACGCGCCAACATCGTGCCCCCGGCATGGCTCCATCCCGAATCCCTTCGCGAAATCGTCACCTACGAAACTGCCATCGACGTCAAGGATTGGGCACCTCCCCCTCCACCGCCCGTCAGAGCCGACAGCAGAGGCAATTCGAAAAGGTTCAACTCTACAGATGCGGACATCATATTGTCGCCTCCGTTTCTGCCGTCCTGCACGACGGCAGCTCCAGCAGGCGCCCTACCGTACCATTGGTTCGAGTTCGCCGAGATGCTTCTCGCTCACGCCAGCGATGATGTTCCGTCCGCCTCCGAAGTGCGCTCTCTTCTGAGAGATCTTCAGGAAGCTCGATCAGCTAAGATGAGATCCAAAATCACACAGCCGGAAAGCCACGGCGAAGGCGTCACGAGCCTTCGGGGCGTCGGGGCCATGGAGCTTGCTGAGAGCAGAGGTTTTGTTGCCAGTGTAGCCGAGGGCGTTCGCAAGATTGGTGCAAGTGCTGAAACCATGCGGCGTGAAGAAGAGGAGGAACATGGCCAAGATATGGACGACGATAGCGATGATGACATGGGTCTTTGAGAGGATTGACCGATTTGACAACAGAAATCACCAGCCGACAAGCACAAAGAGGCCAACATGGGCGGGGCTACGCATCTTCTTCCACGCCAAAACAGCGACCGATCCGGGGCACAACACGTGTCGAAGTCGAAAAATGTCTGAATTTCTATCGGGCTTTCATACGCGACTTGTCCTCTATCCTAAACGCCAAAAGCGAACCCTAAACCAAACCGATAAACCCACCGAGTCCTGGATCGACGCCAAGATCTCATACTATGCAAGCCGTATCCCGATCAAAACCTCCTGCTTCAGTGTCTTCAAAAACTTCCCAGTTGCGGAGCATCAGTGGTTGACTTTTTGACGCTGTTGCGTACGACATTGTTGTGCTGTGTGAGGCCTTCTCCTTTGGATGTGCCGGCAATCATCGCTGCCAGTGGTAATCCAACGCGTAAGAAACTGAAGCAAAGAGGCCCCCAACTATCCTCCCAGATGAAAAGGCAATAGCCAACTCGTTTTCGTTTAAAGTCATCTCCGCCTCTCTTGTTGTGGTCATTTGGATATTCAGCTTGGCGAAACCCCTCACGCAGCTATAGCTCTCCTGGTCTCAGAGTCCTGAAAAGGGTTCCTCTCTGCTCCAGCGCTATCGTCATAGCTCGCAACCATGCTTAGACGCTCGTGAAACTCCCGACAGTCCCAGTTCGGCGGCTCACTCCCCTCTCGCCACCGTGTGCGACCTCGCTGCAGCTCATCCGAACGTCCCCGGTGCTCCGATGCCGTGAGAGCGGGCTGAGTGGTACCAAAGCGCATATTGCTGCCACAACGTCCAGCCGCACGCACGTCGTCCTGTGCATACCGGCGCTTCTTGGAGTCGTCGTTATCGAGCACCTCATCATCTGGCAGAAAAGCTCTCTTCTTGCCGGAATTTGGCGTCGCGGCCTCGCTGGTGTTGAGAATATTCTGTTGATGCATATTTGCTAAGCTGCAGGCTTTTCGATATCAAAATCAGTCTTGGGGGGGAATTTAAAAAAAAAGTGCTTCGCGTTCAGAGTCAAATACTCAGATGAAGGGGGGAGAAGAAATATTTAATGTAAAGATACCTTGGGGTCTCAACTCACTCAACCGGAGTCGCCCTTTGTCTGACAAGAGACTGGCTCTTGCTTTGTGGAAATCTTGGTTTCCTCGGAGACTCCCAAGTGCGAACTTGAGATTTCTGCTTTATGCTTTTTCCCTTCTGCTTTCAAACAGGCACAATGGACTGGGACTGCCTGTTTGCAGGGGCCACTGCCAAGCGGGCCGCCCAGCTGCAGCGTTTGCGATGTGCAATTCGCCCAAAGGCATCAATGAATCCAAACGTCATTAACTGCCTTGGCCATGTTAATGAATTAAATTCACGTGCTATGCTGGACGGAATGCATATTCCTTTCTTCTCATGGTTCTTCTATGCACGTCATCTAGATCTGCGTCTTTGTCCCATGTCTCTGTCTTTCAGCCACATATTCATTGGAAATTTGGGGGCTTTTGTACATGGCCGTTGCACAATGAAAAGGCGTACATGTTGTTGGTGGCTTGAAAGATGTATTTTGCAAGAATACAAAGGTGCATCTCCAAAGCAAGACAATTGGGTACCTATTTGGACATTTCACGAGCTAGACAAGATGGCATAGAAACAAGACTTGACCCAAAGGTTCGGCGTGACTCTATAGTACGGGGCAGGTTGTCATCTCAAGTCTTGTACAATAATTATATTCTTAACAATGCTCAAACGGGACAAACATTTCCTCCACTCTGGCATGCACAGGTTTGGTGCTGGTATTACATTATTTACAATTCTGATGGCTCCTCAACCGCCTTTGAAGAAAAGTCGTGGTATGCGAGCTCGTAGACCAAGCCCAGAGTCATCTTGGCGTGCTCAAGCATGTGGTCAAAAGACAGGTACTTGATGAGATCCTCGGTGCCGTGGATGTGCTGGTCCGAGTTCTCGAATGCAGACTCGATAACAAAGGCAGAAGGGTAACCGGCCTTTGACGCAGAGGCGTGGTCAGAGCAAGCATAGCCGCACTTGGTCTCCACCCAGGGAATGCTGCAGTACTGTAGGGGAAGATGTTAACAATGCAACGCGGGGATTTTCTAAGAATAGATAAAGTGAACTTACCTCCTCGATGACCTTCTTGATGAAAGCAGTGAGGCCGGGGTGAACAAAGTCGGTGATGACGCCAACGCTCTCCGGCTTGCCCGCATCCTCGGTTCCCTGGACAAAGCCAGTCATGTCCTGCTGGAGCATGGCCTTGACGTCGCGGCCCTGTTTCTCGTACGACTGGAAGATGGCCTGGCTGCCTAGGAGACCGCCCTCCTCGGCACTGTACCAGTGGAATTCGACAGTGTTGGGTGCAGACCCGCCAACAACGTCTTTGGCCTTGAGCAGCGTGTGGAACACTTCCATGATGGTAACCGTGCCACTTCCATCGTCGTCGGCGCCAGGAGCACCCAAAATTGAGGGGAGCCACAGGTTGATGGAATCCTGGTGAGCACCAATGACGACGGTGGTGTTGGTCTTGCCGGGGATTCTCGCAATGACGGAGCTCTGCGGCCACGAGTGGGAAAAGTGCTCCGCAGTCACGGTGTCCTCGGCGCCAGCATCCTTGATGATGCCGTTGATCCTCTCCAAGACCCATTCTGACGACTGCCGGCCGTAGTCGGACTTGTAGTATCGGGTGTGGAAGCTGGTCAGCTTCTCGAGATTCCTGCGCATCCCGTCCTTGGTCAGGTGGCCCGCCAGCTCACCAACCTCCTTCTGCTTGACGCACTTGTCGGGAAACGCGACGGAAGCTTGGCTAGTCTTGGCGCGGAGGGTGCCCAGCTCTTGTGTGTCGGTGATGTCCATGAAGTTTTGGCCGTTCTACACCAGATGGGGAATGTTAGTCGGGGCTGTTTGACGCTGCAGACAGGCTTCAGCGAGATTGGACATACACGTCTAAGATCCCACTTGTCCTCCTCGGTAACCCATTGTGTCTCGCCGGGGCTCAGCTCGACGAGGTACTTGGCCGGCTCGTCGAGCTGAACATTGTCGCCCTCGTTCTCCACGACGAAGCGACCGCTGACGAGGGCAGCAGGCAGGGCGGCCGCGATAAGAGAGGTTTGTAGGAACTTCATGGTGGTTTGATGTGATGAAAGAGCACAGTTATAGCGATGATGATGATGATGATGATGATGATGCTGAGAAGTAGAGATCGAGGTGAAGGAAGAGGGAGAGATGGAGATAAGCAGAGAAGCAGAGCGAGGTGATGCGATTCAAAGGTTCCTACCAAGGTCGGCCTGGTAGGTCACAGATCCCCACCGCTACAGGGGGCTGGGCCTACGTCTTCAGGGACGGTTGGGGGATCCGCCTTGCCGTAACTGGTAATGCGGCATGATGCCGGGGGACCGAAAACAATGGCGCTACAAGACATTTACTTGTCATTGGAAGCTAGATAATCATAAAATAATGTGTGTATATGTTTGCACATGTCCGCATGTTCTTGGTTGCGTTATTCATACAACTATATGCATAGGTCTGATCGGGCTAGCGCATCTGCACGTACAAGTGCCGTCCCATATGACCATGAGATACGTGAGTCTAAACATCAACACCATTGAAGATGACCAACAAAATCCGCACATCGCGAAGCCGTACCCAAACGCCCAAATACCAAGGTAGCTGAAACCAAATTCTACCTCGATCCAAAACTCCCAGACTCAATGCTATTTGCAGCCTACGAGTAACATCCATTACTGCTGAGGTGGCGGAGGAGGCGGTGGGACCTGGCCGTTCCACCCACCCTGCCCGGTTTGTGCCTGAATCTGGCTCATCAGAGCTGCAAAGAATGCGGGATTGACGAATGCTCCGCCGTTAGGCGCCTGGCCCTGTCCTTGGGCAGATCCGGGCCAGCCTGGCGGTGGAGGCGGTACCGCAGAAGGTGCTGGCTGGCCCTGTGCTGGCCACCCAGGAAGGGGGAAGCCAAACTGAGGAAGAGACGGAACTGGCGCGGAGTTGGAGGGGGGAACTGGGTTGAAGTTCCATGAGCTGCCCGTGGGCACTCCTGCTTGGGGGTTCTGATTGCCTTGAGGAGGGAGTGAATATCCATCCCTAGGATGGCTAAAGCCTCCCCTACCTCCGCGGCCAGAACCTCTTCCACGACCACCTCGACCTCGAGAGTCTCCTCTCCGACCTCCCCTTGAGAATCCTGGTCTGGGAGCAGGCTCATGAGTCTCGGTCGATGAGGGGCCCGCCCCAAAGCCAACAGGTCGAGCTAATGGCTTATAAGGGCCATCGTCCTCCTCATCGTAGTTCAAGCTGCCATCTGCCGACAGCTCCTGGCGCAACGGGTGAGGCTGTTTACCCTCCTTGCCACCAGAGCTCTTCCACTTGTCTTTCTTCTTCTGCTTCAATGACCGCTTGTATTCTGCTTCCTTCTCATCATCCGAAAACTCGACTTCTTCATCGGCAATTTCCTCATCGTGCAGGTTGCTAGCATCAGAGCCCTTGAGATTCTTCAGAGGCTCAGTGAAAACGTACGATGCGTGATCAACAGGATAGTATATCTTTGTTCCAACCTCCAGCCCAAGCTCTTTCACCTCTTCTGCCGTGTTGAACATGACCGTGTACATCGGTTGCAACACCTTGCCTATCGTCTCTGCGATGACTCCGATGACAACCCTCTCTGCGTTGCACAGGACAGATCCGCTGTCCAAGACTTGGTATTCTCCGGGAGTGAATGCTTTGATGAGCATGATATTCTCGACAATATGTTCAATGGCACCGAGCTCCTCTATTGCCATCTCGGGGGTGATTGCCACGTCCGGCTTGGGAATGACTTCGTCGGGAAGCTCATTCTTTGTCCGTACATAACCGGCCCCAGACGCCTTCCCTCTATCTCCCTCATCATCAGAGCCTCCCTCTGTCTCCATCAGGAGCCGTGCTGTTTCTTCGATGCCAAGCGGTTCATAGCCCTCATTGTCAGAGTCATCATCATCGGATGACGAGTCGGAACTGCTGGAATCCGATGACTCGTATGGTGTGGAGTCGATTTCCCATTCGGGGTGTTCGCTTTGGTCGGGTTGTAAAGGAACTTGCTCTGCTTCAGGTGCGGGCGCCTGTTGGTTCGCATCAGGATTGTCTAGGCCGCCAAGGGCTGCTTCTAGAGCGTGTGTCAAAGAAGGCGGGCTCTCAGGCTTGTCGATTGTCATAGCGTCTGGGTCAGAGGCGCTGTCCTTGGCGGCTTCGTTGTGTTGTTCTGTGGCTGATGATGTTGTTGTCTCGAGCGCGGATGGATTTGCGCCGGCCATCTCGCTGTCTTCTACGGCGCTCGCAGCGGCAATTGCGAGATCAGCTGGAAGCGGCGGCAGCACTTCGTTCACCTTTGCTTGGCCCAGTCCGGGGATCTGGAAGCCGGACATTGTGGCAACGAAGATGTGTGTGATTTGGAGAGGAAGTTTTGCGCCCAAGAAGGAAAACGGGCTTGGGTATCCTGGAAGTCGTGAAGGATGTCAAGACGAGTGAGAGGATCGCCGCCTATAATGCAATGGATATGAAATACAATAACACCATTAAAAGGCTGCAATTATGTCGGTCGGACTTGGAGAGTCCAGTTGGAATTCGACGTGGTTGATGGAAGAGCTGCAGCAATGCAGAGGCGAAAGAAAATCAATGCTCTGGGCTGCTGTTATCGGGACGATAAGGAAAAAAAAAAGAATCCATAGCACAGGCAGAATGGCGTCTCCGGGCGGTATGTGGGGCGGACCAACCAGTGTAGGAATGGCTCGCTGCACTTCAGCCCGCCAGCCTCCAGCGCGAACTTGCAGTGCAGAATCATCCATCACGGTGAAGAGAGGAGAACAGGTGAGCGTTTCACCGGCTCACCGAACGCCACCGCGGCTCAACAAGCCTCACCGCCATCCTCTTTCGCGAGTGGATCTTGACCCCAACATAAACAAAACATCTTGATCTTTCACAAAGCCATCAAACTGTTGCATCCGCGACTATGGCGCCCAAAACTACCACAAAGGACAAGGAGAAGGAGAAGGCGCCGTCGTCAAAGTCTAGTTCTAGTTCCAGGAGGGAGAGGGAGCGAGACCGAGACAGAGCCACTCCCGCGCCCTACGAGCATCCCGATGCCAGCCATGCAAAGAAAAAGTATGTTCCACTCAACCGCCTGTGAGCGCAGCTGCTGATGCGCGTCCTTGAGCTTGAATCACCAGGCGGCCAAGTGCATATAGCATCAAGCCCATCTCGGCCTTTTACCTCTTTTTCAGCGCCAGCATGATTGCGGCCCTGTTTGCGCCAATTCAGGATTGTGACGAGACGTTCAATTACTGGGAGCCGGCCCATTATCTCTCACATGGCTACGGCCTGCAGACCTGGGAGTACTCACCGGATTACGCCATCCGAAGCTGGCTTTACATAGCACTTCATGCTGTTGTGGGCAATGTCCGCAGAATACTCCCTCAGTCTACCAAGGTGAGTTGTTTTTTCCGTCTGTGAAAATGAGCTGATGGCTGATCTTCTTAGGTTTCCGAATTCTACTTCATTCGCTACGGCCTGGCCCTTCTCTGTGCCATTTGCCAGACCATCCTCTACCAAGGCATCAGTCTAGCTCTCAATGCTAGAATTGGCGTCGTCTTCCTCATCGCCACCATCCTAAGTCCAGGAAACTTCCATGCCAGTGCAGCCTTCTTGCCCTCCAGCTTTGCCATGTACATGGGGATGCTCGGCGCTGCATCGTTCATGAACTGGCGGGGTGGTCTGAAGACATGGCAAGGCATAACTTGGTTCGCCGTCGCTGGTGTTCTTGGCTGGCCCTTTGCTGCTGCCCTCTCTACGCCGTATCTCCTTGAAGAGTTCATTCTAGTCCTGTTCAGCGACAGGACCTCTTTCATCGAAGCTCTCATCCGACTTGTCCGTGGTGTCATCGCTGGTCTTTTGGTTCTGGTAAGTTGTCTCATATTCGTTGCCCCATGTTGGAACACTATACTTATAGCCACCAGTTTTCCGACTTTCTCATCAACCTGTTCTTTTACAAGAAGTCGGTGGTTGTCTCATGGAACATTGTCAAATACAACATCTTCTCCAAGACCGGCGGTCCTGACCTTTACGGAACTGAGCCCTGGACCTTCTATTTCAAGAATCTTGCGTTGAATTTCAACGTTTGGTTTATCCTCGCTCTTTTGGCATTGCCACTCTTCATCCTCCAGAAGGCTTTCTCCAGGACTTCACAGAACCTATCCAGCGGGTTGCGTACTGTTGTTTTTGTCGCACCCTTCTACATGTGGCTAGGAATCTTCACCGCGCAGCCACACAAGGAGGAGAGGTTCATGTACCCGGCCTACCCCTTCCTCGCCCTCAATGCCGCGATATCGGTTCACATCATCCTATATACTCTTGGATCTTCCAATACCACGACGTTGATCGGAAAGATCTCGGGCCGTCTCAAGCTTCTCGTTGTCGGCCTCGTCCTTCTCCTCTCCGTCAATATCGGCATTGCGCGCATCTACGGCATATACTCTGCGTATTCGGCCCCTCTGAAGGTCTACACACCGCTTTGGGGAGATGGATCAGGAAATACGTTTGGAGCAGAAGAAGACAATGTCTGCTTCGGGAAAGAATGGTATCGCTTCCCAACCTCCTACTTCCTCCCGCGTAACATGCATGCCAAGTTCCTACGTTCCGAGTTCCGTGGCCTGTTGCCCGGCGAGTTTTCTGAGGCCGGGACTGGCTTCGGGTTCTGGAGCGGCACCTGGCTGCCAACAAAGGGTCTGAATGACCGCAACGAAGAAGATGCGGGCAAATACGTCGAGCCTCGCATGTGCTCTTTCCTCGTGGATACCCAATACCCCCTGAGAAAGAAATCGGTGTCACGCAAAGAGCCAGATTACATTGCGGACAAGAACCACTGGGAGATCGTCAAGTGTGTTGAGTTTCTCGACGCTGCCAACACGCATCTCCTGGCACGGACGCTGTGGATTCCCGAAATCGACGCCGTCCCCGAAAAGTACAGGCGGAAGTGGGGAAGACACTGTCTTCTCCAGCGCAAGAAGAGATCCGCTAGCATGTGGATGTCTCCTGGCCAGATGATGATGGGTTAACGAAGCTTATGTTTCCAAAAGTAACATGATTTCTTGGGCAGGTCACGACTGGCTTAAAATTTTAATAGAAGAATTTATGATTGAAATAGATGATGCTTATCCATGTCTTCACTGCTATGTCAAGCATGTCAAGAACAGGTTGATACACAAATCAACACTGATTGTGGTATGAAGAGTATAATTAGACTAGCTGATACATGAGATGAGTTATACAGAGAATTGCAAAGTACTCAAGTCCAGCATCAAGCATCACCTCGTGCATCTCCAAACAAGAAGCAGCATCGGCGATCGATCATTTCATATAACAGCCACCACGGCGCTACCTGTCCACAAAGTCTTTCCTTTCATAGACACCTAGCAGGTATCTCTAAAGACATGATGTTGGACTCTCTAGAATAGTGAAAAGGACCACCTTCGGCGACCAACCCATGCAAAATCTATTAAATCCAAGAGATCACCCGCGCAATAACCATCTCATCATTTATATGTATGCTGCGCCGTTGTGTCACCCCGCGTAAACGCCTAATGTGCTCTCGGGATTCGATGAATGTCGCTATTACCATGAAACCGCCCACTGGAAGCGTAGGCGGTGCTCGGAATCGAAAATATCTTGAGGCATTCGGCCTGTCGTCTAGCCCAGGACCAGTTCGTAAAGGATGATCAACGTGTTGACTATGATCAATGGCGCTATCCATCGTGTTAGTCTCACGGTCCGCTTACCCTCCCAATAGCCCCTGGATTATAGATGTGCGCATAATGGTGGGGGATTCCCAATTCGAAGGGTAGGGAGAAGGAGGGCAGGACGTACGTCGCATAACCATGCGGACACTGGCGATGAGAGCGACTAGTTTGGCCTTGACGCTGTTGGCATCTGCGCCGGCGCCAAAGGCAGGGTCGTATGTGGATGTGGAGAGGCCGATGCGTGCAAGGAAGCGGTCGTCGGAGAGGATGGCGAGGGCGTTTGTGAGGAGGCAGAGGACGTAGACGAGATTGCCTATGAAAAGCATTTTGAACGGTGTTTTTTTTTCTCTTCTCTCTTGTTGTGATGCTGTGCAATGATTCTCCTTTTGATTATATCGGACCCGACCCGGAGAAGAGGGAAGAGGAGCAGGCGTGGAATTGATCGTTTGGCGGTTGTTGAAGCTCAACTGTCTCGCGACTGACGGAAAGACCAATTGGCGTCATGTCCAAGCTGGCCTCTTTTCGCGGGAGCTAGCGCGATAAGGGGAGCTTATCGGAGCTGCGACAGGGGTCAGGTGACTGCGCTGTGATGTAAATCACCTGTAACTCGTTCACTAAAATCCGACCTTTAACATTGTCCTGTCTCAGTGACATCGTGTACAAAATCACAGTGAGAGAAAATGGCCACGCCGTCAGAAGGTCCCAAAGAAGGTCCCAAAGAAGGTCCCTGGACCGACGAGACGAAGCAAAAGTTCGAGAGGTAATTCGACCATATGATACACATCTCCCCATCCTTGCTTAACGCTAACCAACCACTTCACAGCAAATCGAAAAGCGAATTCTACGATCCTTGTCAGGAAGCGGCGCAGCGCAGTTATAAATGCTTGTATCGGAATAACGGCGACAAGTCGATGTGCGGAGAGTATTTCCAGTATGTTCTGTACTCCTGGGCTGTGACAATGGCAGCTTGATTCGGCATTGTAGGTGAGAAGCTGACGGTATGGCGTAGGGCGTATCGCGATTGCAAACAGGCTTGGGTATGTTGAATCCAACTATATACATGGCTTTGATACGAATATATGATGAGCTAACGAGCTGAATAGACGGAAAAGAGGAGAAAGGAGAGGGGTACGCTCTGGTGAACTGTTCTACCTGAATGTCCAACCACTATTAGACGAATTCGATCGATTCCACGGAGCGAGGACATCGGCCGATGGCTTGTACAAATAAATACGGAACCTATGTTGGATAAACAGGGTTTGTAAGATAGAGAAGACCAATGTGTAAGTTGAGCATCTCCCGCCTAAAATGGTAAATGTCCTGATTGAAATGCTAATTGGCGTGGAGCAGAATTATATTTTATACATTGATGCTGTCAAACAACAGCAACCGACTCCTCTCCTTTCCTTCTTCAGGCTCAACTTGATGTATATAAGACGATAAACAATGGTACATAACTACAGCACATTTAGAGAAATGTCAATGACTCTTTTGTCAACATGTTCAAACGATACGCCCATTCGACCAATACTGCAGTGCTCAATGGTCGTTTATAGCACCGACAAACAATATTTAACAACTGTTGAGACTTTAGTATCCGAAATCTTCCCAAACCACTTGCTCCCCGGTCAGCCATCCCTTCGTCCTCTGCAACAGCGGTGGCCCCGTACAAAGAAAGAATTTACGCTCCGCTCCCTTCAATGTTCTCAGATCGTCTTCACAAAATCGCCGGAATACAATCTCACTCCCTAAATTCTGGACCTCATTCACCAGCTTACTATCAAAATGATCACCTGTGATAAAAAGCTTCGTTCTAGCTGCCAGCCCGTCAATTCTCTTAAACGAATCCACCGCCAATTTTAGGTCTTCCCCACGAAGACTCCAGAGCACGTCAAAATTTGATTCCGCATTGATGAGTGCTGGAGCTTGTGCAAGCAGGGGTGTTATACCCACGCCAGCCGCAATAAAGACAGAAGCTGGTGATTCTGCAGAGGTCTTCCGAACAGGCATACGAAAAGACTCTTGTCCACCGAATCCCAATACAGACAATTTCAAGGGTGCATCGGCTTTATGCTTCCAAAGAAAATGCGTGGCAGGTCCGTTCTTCTTGACAGTGATTTGAAGCTCATTCTCTTGTGGGGTATTAGAAACAGTAAAAGTTCGAATAAAGTCATCGTTCAAGCTCTGTGGATCATGGTCTCTCATATGAGACCATCCTTGATACAGGTGTGGTGCAAAGTCCAATGTTATATACTGCCCGGCATGCCATGTCGGGATCGGCTTCTGTGACGAGAGCTTGAATGTGAAGCGGCTGATGGTTGGTGTGAGGATCTCCCGGGACAGAAACTTTGCAGAAAGATCGGTGCTGTCTTGTGATGTTTTTGCGGTGCTCTCGGTTTGTTCGGTGACGAGATATCGTGGAGGAGGGTTGTATGGTGAGTACTCTATTGGGATTCCGCGGAATGGGAGGCCAGATTGAACGAATCTGGCATCGGTGACGTTGATTTTGACAGCCAGTTGTGTTCTGACGAGCAAATCGGAGGCGTCTTTGCCTACCAGGATTGTTGCAGAACCTGTGAGGTATAGGACATCAGAAGTGACAAAGTCGGGAACAACGATGCCAATCAGTGGGTTTACTTTGAGATTTCCCAAGCTCTGATATAATCTGTTGCCGGAGACTACAGTTGTTAAGCATGGTCAGTATATACTCTAATTGAAAGCGAAGAATGGATAAGCACTCACACTCTGGATATATCAGAATCACTCCATCCTCATTATTCTGGATAATTCTCACAAAGCCAGGCGGGCCACCTCTGTTATTCGTATCCATCGATTTCCCGTTAGTGCTCGACAGGAACAACGTGTCTGCTCTGCCAATCAAGCCCACAGCTTCTTGCGGCAACGGTAGCTTCTGTGATATTAATACGGGATGGGCATCATTCGGTATAATCTCCTTTCGATTGAGATATTTGGGACAGTTCCCAAGGCTTTCTTCTATGTCCATGGCGATCCTGACTCTCCCATCTTTGCCTTCCATGGCTGCAAGCATCTTGCCCATAAGCTTGACACGGTCTTGTCCTTCTAGATCTATAGTCAATGCAGCCATCATTTTCCTCTTCTTGTCGCTTTGGAGTACTGCATGATCAGTCTTGCCTTTATCACTTCCGAGCAAGGCATTGAAGACAGGATCATGTTGTGTGTCAACCTTGCTGTCGAATCTAAGCACGTCTTCTGCCACGGGCCTTGCGCAGCCGATGTCACCGCCCCAAATGGTCGTCCACGGCCGGCCTTTGTTGTCGAGTGTCCCCACTGCCACGAGAGGCGATTGCATTGCGCGGACAGCGTGATTCATTGGAAGGCCGGAGCTCGTGGGGTCGCCGCTGATGGGGAGTTTGAGCATTTTGTATACGGCCACCTCGCCTTCATGGCGGCCATGCGGATATGACCTTTTGAAAGGCATTTTATTGAAACAACGTTTAACGTTGTGAGGTCTTTTAAGAGTATTCAGAGATGCTTGTGCTACTTTATGAACAATACATAGGTGAGTTCCAGAGCCAAGTAGCAGTGATGGCGAATCTCATGCCATTCATTCTCCCAGGTCAGCCATCTTTTTAGAATAATTGAAAACATTCTCTTTGTATATAATAGGACCAAGCAGTAGAACCAGTACGTCTCTTTTTACCAGGTAGTCATCTAATCAAGATTCCACAGCCTTTTGTATATCAAACAGATTCACCTCTTAGCACTTTACTTCGCACTCATCTCGGGGTTAAGGAGCCAGCCAAATGGCAGCGAGATATGCTCTATTGACGCAACAAGCACATATTTTGAATGGTGAATAATCCTCAATCAGCCATGTCCGTCCAGACACGATCACTAATCACAATCACTGATTCCATTCCGAGCTTACTCGGAGTCGCCAGCTGTGGAACCCTGTTAATAGCATACTGAGGCCGCACTCAACTCGGAGTTATGTGTCGCTTCTGATTGGCTAGAGACACATCCGAAAGGTTTCCTCATAAGATTGTTTCGTGAGTGTTGCCCTGTTCAACAGCTCGTCATATCATGAATCAGCACGGAGGTCGCTTAAGTGAGAGTGCGAGCATGCCGATATCTTGGAATAATCGGGATAGCGTTTCTACTTGAGATGATCCCTAAAGACAAATAGAGAATGACACCATATGTGATGGCATCGCCCCAGTTGTTGCCTCAACTTAGAAAGCTTCTAATGAGACAAAATGACTTTCTTTCTTGGTGTAGACATGGAATCATCCCAAACACTAGTATGACATCAGTATACGTATTTAAATAGCGCGAAACATTCGTTTTCCGGTCAAATGAATTTGATCTCTATTCACAGTTCAACTAACTAGTCAGTCGCAAGCATCTCACGATTAGCAAAAAAGACAAGCATGCAAAAGGCGATCCCAAAATACCACCCCGTCGCTACATCTGCAGCGGCTGAGACAGTTAAAAGACATAAAAAGCCAGCTAATGCCGTGTTTTGGGCAGGATGGTTTTGTCCATTCACACAACGTTCTTGGGTTGTACTAGAAGAGCTTGGCATCACTTATCAGTATAAGGAAGTCAATCCTTATCTTAAAGAGGCATCGTTTCTAGGTACGATACTTAGGCACTTCTCGCTTTTGGGTTGTGGTGCTGACTATGGCCAGAAATCTCACCAAAGGGATTAACCCCCGGACTTCAGGTAAATGGCAAGCCGCTTCATGATTCTATTATCATCAACGAGTTCTTGAATGAAGAATACGGGTCCAGCAAATTGATGCCGGAAAGGCCCTACCAAAGAGCCATTGCTAGGCTTTGGATTGAGTACATTAATAAAGAGGTTGTTCCGGCATTCTTTCGACTATTACAAGCGCAGCCAAGCGAGCCTGAAAAGCAAGCATCTGCTCTGACAGACTTCAAAAACTTACTCTCAACGGTCTCCAAAGAATTTAAAGATCCATATTTCTTTGGAGAGCAGTTCAGTCTCGTAGACACAGCTATCGCTCCCTGGGCTGTGAGGGACTTTATCGTTCGAGAGTTTCGAGGATTTGTTCGTGACGAGATTCAGGGGTGGAGTGCTTGGGAGTCTTCGTTGGAGGCGCGAGAAAGTGTTGTGCGAACTACAAGTGTAAGTGCTGATCGTATAATGTTCTCTCAAGTTCCAGAAGTTAGACACTAATTTTCTCTCTAATACTAGGGTAAAAGCGAAATAATTGAGTTCAACGGCACGTTTCTCCGAAACGAACTGCATAGCTTGGCGGGCCAAGCGGCAGTGGAGGGACAGGCAATACCTTAGGCCTTTGAAGAAACACGTCATAAAGAAATGGAACGATGGGGATTTCTCCCCTCTATTGGTACATTAATTGCACGGGAACAGTTAAGTTGGAAAGGCCTAAAGTAAATAGATAGGTAGCTTTAGGTCTTACACCTCACTGGGTAGTGGGGGCTGCAGATGCACGCCGGGCGTATAGATGAGGGGTTATCAAGGATTCATATTGGCTTGTTGAGTGTGTATATAAGAAGTCATATTCGCTCTCTAGACCGTCTAGTTCAATAGGCAGGTTCAGATTTGCTGTAATAACTTGAAGTCACTAGCTTTCACAAGGATAAGCATGTCGTCTCAGGAAGGAAGACCGCCTTACCCACCGTTCACGGCTGAAACAGCGCAGAAGAAGGTCAAGGCAGCCCAAGATGCATGGAATACCAGGTAAATGAAGCAATTTGTGTGATATAGTCGTACTCCAGCTTACAAGCGCTAGAAATCCCGATGGCGTAAAAATGGCTTACACGCCGGACTCAATCTGGCGCAACCGTGACCAGTTCCTGCAGGGTAGAGACGCCATCAAGGAGTTTTTGACCAAGAAGTGGAAGAGAGAAAACGGTTACCGACTACGGAAGGAACTTTTTGCTTTTACGGAGAACAAGATTGCTGTGCAATTTTGGTATGAGTGGTGCGACGAGGCGGGCCAGTGGTGGCGGACGTATGGTCTTGAAGACTGGACGTTTGCGGAGAACGGATTGATGAGAAAACGACAGATGAGCGGTAATGATGTTAAGATTTCTGATGATGAGCGGTGGTTTAAAGACGGCGTCGATGTAAATGAGGTGGACATCTCTGAGAAACATTGGTAGTTTGTGCTGCTGTATAACTTTGATGAGAATATAACAGAGTGAAACACTAGCAGGCTCTATTCCTAGCGACTACCAGTATGGATAATAGAATGAGTACCACATACCATCACGACCTATGAGATGGAAATATGGCCAACAGAAGACCTTAGAACTATCAATGAATGAGGTTCCATAAATATTATATATTAGAATTCATACGGTAACTAGGGGGATTTGTAACGCATTTACTACCTCCTGTCATCTCCGTGATACCAAAAATAAAATTTGAGACTTCATCCAAGAAGACTTACTTCTCCTCGTGGTTTTCCCCCAGTCCAATTCAATGCGGGCTTGCATTTTTGCAACTGTCAACATCCATTTCGAGCACAGTTTTCAGTGCTGCTGTCTAATTAGCTAACATGAACCGAATCCTTGACATCAATACGAATAGAACAACTATCCCACACAGGAAGCGTGGTTGTAGAAGGCGTGAAGTAAATGTTATACCATTCGCACACATGTAGCTATTTATGAAATTTACGCTTCTAAAAAAGGGAAAATGAACTTGCATCGAATATCCCCATTACGTTGTGAAAATAATAGGGTTTACTAATCGCTATTGGTAATACCACATTGGCACTGTTCATTGACTTGCCCTTCAAAGAAGAGATTACTTATTCATTTCTGCGCAAATCTTTGATCAATGATACAAATTGTCTAGACTCGTCTCCAGCGTTGCGTTCAACATGTCCTGTCCACTCCGTAGACGAATCATTCACTGCTTAAGAATGCTTCTCACAGGGGACATGATGATGCACATGCGGGCTAGTTCCTTGCATGGCTTCTATCCGCACGCTAATCCGCACACTAGAGCGGCATCAACCCAGATCTAGTTACTTGGACGCTACGCCGTAGCAAATCGAAGGTTATCTCGGGTTCCTAGACCGAAACACCTTCCCGGGGCTTGGCTGTTGTTGATGTCAGAATCTTCTTAATAGCGACGCTCAAGACCATCTATATGCTTCTTTCTTTGTAATTAGGCTTTTCAAGTGCATATTTGTCTGTCAAAATGATTTCCAATCTTTTCAGCAATTACAAACCAAACATGTCGGTTTGCGCATGGCCGCAAGATATAAAATACAGAAACTCGGCCCTCAAGTAATGCTAGATCACTCAACTCAGAACAAAGCATAGTTAAAACACAAACACTCTACAGTTTTCTACAAAACTTCGCATCTCTACAAACTCAGTCTTTTGACAATCAATTTTTACTCTCTCAAGTCTAAACCTTCAACTTTCTTCAAATTCAAGATGGCTCAGAAGCGAATTCTCGTTATTGGTGGAACCGGCGCCCAGGGTTTCGCAGTCGTCAAGGCTCTTGTCGAGGCAAAGGATCCCTTCACCGTTCGCGTGCTGTCACGCAACCCAGACTCTGAGGGCGTTAAAGAGACTTTCAAGGACTACCCCCAGGTTGAGCTCGTCAAGGGCTCATTCATGGATTTTGATTCCGTCGAGAGAGCTCTTCAAGACTGCTACGGCGTCTTTGTCAACACTGATGGTAAGAAAAATTCCCATACTCATCCAAATAACTTGACTTATTGACGAATCTCAGGCTTCACTGTCAACGAGCCGGACGAGCTTTGGGCTGGTGTCCGTATCTTTGAGATTGCAAACACCATCCCAACTCTTCGCCATTTTGTCTATAGCAGCATCGACTACTATCTCCGTCTGACCAACTTTGACCACAAGTACGCAGCTCACCACACCAATGGCAAAGGTCGTGTTCACACCTATCTGGATGGTATGACTTCGCCTGCGCACCCCGACTCTAAGCTTGTGTGGTCGGTTCTCATTACCGGTCCGTACAACGAGGATCTCATTGGCGGCCCTTATGTGCCACACATCGCCACCGACGGCACTCGCGTCTTCCGCTTCCCCTTGGGCGACGGATACATCCCCTTCATGACGCTCCAAGATTGCGGTGCCTTTGCGCTCCACATGTTCCAGAACCGCGAGGAGTGGTCCGGCAAGACTCTCCTTGCGACCAGCCACTTGTCTACTGGCAAAGAAATTGCCGAGACTCTGTCCCGCGTTGCCAGCGTCAAGGCCCGCTACGAAAACATCACTGTCCAGGAATGGGTCGATACCTTGCCCTATGCCGACGCCCCCGTGTCCAGCATGTATCCCGACGGAATCACTGTGGGACAGAACTTTAGCATGTGGTGGCCCGGCTTCGCAAACAGCATCTTGAAGAACGAGGGCACGCGAGACTTGGCCGAGATGAAGCGTATCAACCCCAACCTCCAAAGCCTCGAGGATTGGATTCGTGAGTCTAAGTGGGATGGCACTGCGCGCCAAGTGTTGAAGGGCTTCAAGGATGGAGGCATCACGGCAGACATGCAGCAACTCAAGGCAGAGTGAAGGAGTGCCTAGATGTACTATGGTGTTTGGTGAAATATTTGAACATTAAATGCACGACGCTCTTTATTCAATCACAGTTAGACAACCGTAACTTGGTGAAATTTCATTCCTCGGTGAGTTAATCATTACTGAATACACATTGGACTTCATCGAGAGATGTTTTTCGTGTGGTGGTGGTCCTGCACAGCATTTTTAACCTCACTCAAAGCTTTGAGAACCTCTGGAGACTATTGGTCGAAATGACTGGACGGCCTTGGTTTGTATTTTTTTCACAGCCGGAGCATTTTAAGCCTCAACATTTTAAGCTTGAGCATTTCAGCCTCGTGGAAGGCGAGTGGGGATCTTCACAGCATTTTCAACCTCGGCCGAGGCATGGGATGATGTATGGGTGTAACGAATTCCGTGTTCAAAATTACAACGCACCTGTAATCTGTGACAAGCTGATCTATGTGTGCAAGACGGAAAACTAGCTGCAAACAGCAGCAAACAGAAAGTGGAATTGACCAAGGAGAGTGGTCACACAGATCCACGTGACAACTCAACAATATGCTGCCTTGTCCTTCTCGAAAAGCAAGAGGGCATTAAACAGTACAAAGAGAAATATCTTCATCGCATAAGAGACTTCGTCGATACCCGTTTGCATGAATATACCAGCCATCGTCGAGACAGTCCCTATTGTCGCCATGCATGCAGATATGGGTCCTCACAACATAATTGTGTCGAGTGAGAAACCCACGGAGATCCAAGCAATTATTGACTGGGAATTTTTGGCAAGTGCTCCGTATGCTTCACTTTACCGGGAAATGGAGATGTTCTTCCGCGAGAATGCTCCCAATGGATTTGGTCCAGAGTATCAACGTGCCGATGAATTACGCGAGGCCTTTTGGAGCAATATACCCAAATGGAAGCGATGGAATAAGAGCGAGGCTACGCAAACATTCTTAGAGTGCTTTAGATTTAGCCTATTCATGAAACTGGAATGGAGACCAGATGGTTTGCCCGATGAAGAGAGAGAAGTGTATTGGGCGGAAAATATTCGAGGTGTTGAAGGCTTGTTCGACAAGTATTCGCCACAGTTGAATGAGGCAAGCAACGCCTAATGTATCAAACTTATACTATGCTATATAGCAGTGGTGGCGAGTCATCGTTTAACTTGAGCAAATATTTATCTTCAAACTATTAGTATCTGACTTGCTGGTGTATTCGTGACCGTGACTTACTTGCAAGCATCCATCTTTTACCGAAATTCCTCAAGACTTGCTTTAGAAACTCAACATTGTCTTCATATTTGGCTTTGGGATCACGCTGGAGTAATTGCATCTGAATGACAGCAGACTGATAGAGCGCGTACGGCACAAACGGAGACAGGCATCCGTAGTCGATAGCCTCCTCATCTCCAAATAGCTTACGGCAGTATCGGGTAATTTCGAGAGCTGTATGTTCCGCCAGAGTAGCAGGACAGTTGATAATCCGCACACCATATCTCTCCTGATCAGCCGAACAGCCATAAAGAGTAAATATAGCGCTGCTTCCAGTTAGCTTATGAGTCACATATGCAGAAGACTGCTGCCATACCTGCTGCAAATAGCAAAGGAGATGCAATATTTGCCAAAGTCTTCTACATCATTCTGGAGCAGTGGGATGAACGTCGACATGGTCGCCTCGAGCTGGGCGGCCTCTTTGGCCTGAAAAGCTTCGTCTGAAACCGGCTCGTATACGTTTCGTAGCACTCGTCCGACTACGTGAGAAATCTGGCATTCGCGGGCGAATGAGCCGATGCTAACATCAGCTGGTGTGTTTAGGTTGTGCGTAACTAAGCTCGGAGCGATCTTTTTGATCATGGGTATTTAGACGGTCATTGGTAGCTTGAGGTGTAAATAAGGCATATGAAACTTACATTTTTAGCCCACAACTCTTCTTCAATAGGAAGAGGGTCGCTTTCTTGTGCGAATGGCGTGGTAAAGATGCTTTCTCCCATGGAGAGATTCAAGTAGCTAGAAGTTTGCGTATTAGATACTATCAAGCTCATGGGTTCAGTTAACCGCACCGGTCTAGATTATGCAGCGCCCATAATGTTCGTTTCTTTTCTTCTACAACAATCTCTCTTTCTTCATCATACGTCGAGAGGATAGAATATCTGTGGAATCCAGCAAAGCGTGCCATCTTAGCGCAGCCTCCTATGGATGCAGCTGCAGCGGGATAGATGCCGTGACCAGTTTCATAGAAGGCTATGAGGATTCGGCATTGTATCACTTCGAGAGAGTGAAAAGAAGTGGCTTCCAGCAGACTGATGATGCCCTTTACCGTCACGTAAAGCGACGACTGCATACTGTTATCATGCGGCTGTGGTAGTTGTAGTACGAGGTGCACACATAGACAGAGGGCGGCGAAGTCGGCAACACAACTAGGAGACTCAATCTTGGGTAACCTTGCGTAGAATCTCTGTGCCGATATAATTGATATCCGTCTGGCAATGGTGGCAAAGTACGAGTCTGCTATCCGATGCATCTCGCTGCGGGACTTGACAATCTTGAGTAGTTGCTTCTGAACAATGACATCGACTGTAGGTCGCCTAAGAGAGTCGTGAAGAAAGGGCTCGATGCCAGACGTGACATCGGTAAAACTGGGACTGTTCCAGATATCTGTTGCTGATTGTGATGATTGTGGCGAATACGACCTGGACGAATTGGCGTCTGTCTTTGTTGGAGCATCCGGTACTTTGAGACCGGCTTCACTCTCTACCGGCCGCAAGGTATCTTTATCATACACACATGGCCTACTAAGTCTAGAATTTTACGCTCTCAAGGTAAGCTCTTGGTATTCCTCTCAGTGGATGAGAAAACTCACCTTGTGCACGTAGAGCAGCTGGGCCAACCACGATCACAACGCCGTTTGCCCCGTCCGCATGGACCGCAAGAGTTGACGGCTTGCATGGCTTCTCAACTTGAATATCACGAGAAGAGGCACACGTGGCAAGATAATACGAGCAGAAAAGGTGTCCATCAGATATAGATAATCTTTATATGATATGGAATTAGTCATTCGTGGGCGCTCTCTTTAAGCTCATGCGTTAGCCCTCTTTATAACATGCCGGGCGGGGGCAACGGATCTCCGGTTTTAAGTAAGCTCGCCGCTCCGCATTGAATCTCCAAATCTACAGGATGGAACACTCGGGAAGCTGCAGAAAAATGATTATCTATCTATTCTATTACCAATTCTATAAGTGACATATCATAACTTGGATCCGAGTCAGTGCTGTTCAGCAGTCTTGACTTCAGTGACTTTCTCGATGGCGCCGGTAAAAAGATCCAGCTTCAATCCCACAATCGAGGTTCCTGGGAGGATAAAGGGCGATGAGCTGAGAAGATCCACGTCTTCTTTCAGACTATCCTCGATCCTGTAATTGTGTTGTCAGTCACATATTCAATTTCAGAGTGAGGTTCTTTAAGCTTACGGTCCAGCGATTTCGCCGTATTTGGAAGCATTAATGGTGTCTTTCTCCTGAGGTGCGATTTCGATCAGGGCCTCCTTGATTCTTGAGTCATGGTAATGCGTCATTCCGCAGTCTATATCACATGTTAACTGCAATGCTTCATACAACATCTCTCCGATCAGTAGCATCTCTGCTCACCTGTGTGGTGCATGACAACAACAGTCTTTGCGTTGCCAATGGTTTGGAGGATAGAGATTGATCTGACAGCGTCCATGGCACGGCCTCCAGCATTTCGGACCATAGTGACGCCCTTGATCGTCGGATCGATGCCAAATATCGAGTAAGGGTTCAGACGCGGATCAGAGCAGCTGAGGATGATTGTTCCCGCACCGCTTTGACGAGTTGCCTGGACCATTGGGACCAGAGAAGGTGGCGCCTTGTATGTTTCGACAAGTTTGCTTTAGATTGGTGAGTGACGAATCTTTACGACATATAGAAGTACTTGTTGTACTTGATGGATGAGATACATACGCATTGCGGTTGAGAAGCTCGTCGAGGATCTTGGAAACCATGGTGCTGTAGTTTGCTGATCTCTGTTGGAAAGAAATGAGGTTGCTTGTTTTGAGGCGGAACATGTAATTGTGAATGATTGAATGGGATTGTTGATGTGAATGAGATTTGAACAAGACAAGTCACAGCTCTTTAAATACAAACTGTGGCCGAGCCGTGGCGCGAATAGCGTCGCGTAGGTTTTCATGATTACTGAACCTATGCACTCGAATCCCCTAGCTTAATAATTGCGGAGAATTATTAACAGCTTGAAGTTTATGGTGACTTTTGGTTTGTGACATCACAAACCTCGAAGCGAGACTAATCCGCTGTATCTATTTACAGGGGCTTGAAATGTCCTTTTTCCTAAAAGTGGCGGATGTATGTGTGGACTAGCTTGAGGGCGGAAACGGACCAACTCGGACTAGAAGCCACCAAGAGTGAGGCCGCAGGATGCCGCAGGATGACCTAAGGATAACCTTTGCATGTTAGCTTATTTCATTCATGACTACTCCGGATGGAAGAAGAGGGCGATCGCCCGGGTTGATAGGAGTGGCACAATCCAGGCGCCTCTAGTTACGTCCCACGTGTGTGAAGAGTTGCGACAGATCCTGGATACATCGCTTACACATCCGTATCCAGGCTATACATTACAGCAAGAGTTTTGTATCACTAATCGCATTAAGAGACAGCATTGGAGTTGATCTAGAAAGATAGCAATAAGTCAGCAAAAACCAAAGCAGTCGTGAGCGTTCCAAGTGTTGTCCTATCACTCAAGCATCAACCGGGTGGTGAACGTTCCTAAAGCTACCGGTACTTGGGTATTCACTCAAGATCCTCTACATTAGTAGGCTATGGTCTGACAATAACAAAAAAGCATACAGCAAGTTCGAGATCCCAACAACTAGTTCAAAGTTGAACTACATGTACTAGACAAAGTTCCTAGAGAGAGAGAAAATGCCTCATGATTAGGATCAGCGGTCAAGCATAAAACGTTGCAAAGCCAGACAAGTTGAGAAGGTTATTTAGAGTACTGTATGTATGTGGCTCAACATCAAGTGCCGAATGCATGTATTCGGATTGTTACGTCAGAAACCCGACAACCCGACTAACAGGGTTCGCTAGCTCAGCTGCATGTCTGTTTAGTGATCAAGTCTTTGTCAGATTCAATGCTGGCAGAAACAGCTCAGTTGTACGAATTTATATTTTCCAGGCTCTTCTACACTCTCTACAGTATCTCAGAAATGAATTACCCATTTCGATTGGCATGGTTAACCTACGGAAGCATCAACATGCAGAGCCATTTACGACAGGGAATAGCAGACCCGAGATAGCCTCATGCCTCTATACGGCTTCCCCGCACGCTAAAATGCGTCGTATTCAGGCTCATATTTCTTGTTTGTGTGAATGCTACTTGGATTGACAGTTTCAATTGTTATATCCAATCTTACTCCTCTGTTATATTTACAAAACGTTCCATGACCATCAAGAGTGACCGCCGTCTCGAGACGCCGTTGCACTTGATTGGTTGGCTGCTATCTCTGAAGCCGGCGAATGAGGTCCGCCTGGCTAAAAGCGCCATCCTGGGGAAGCGGGTCAATTACATACATACTATGGAGTGCCCATATCTCACCAATGATGCCATCAGATAGCTAGAGCGATATCGCCATCGATATGTCGGTCTATCCGGACCTCGAGCTGCTGATAACACCAAACTGTCATTGTGCCAGCATCGTATCTTGCCTACGACGAAAACCACGCTGACTCGAGACTATCGGCACATTCGGGTCTGCTGAAACCAAACAAGCTCCCGTTGGAACTCGTGACACTTGTTTTGGCTTGGTTCTATTATATCAACTAGCCGAGTGCTCTTATCATCGACGCAGCAGCCAACATGGCGACGACCAATTCCCCCATCAAGAATCTCCCCAATGAAGTAAATAAACAATAAACTGTCCCGCATGGTTGTTTCTACAATAGCTAACAGTGACATCAATTTTACAGCTTCTCTCCAACGTGCTGGCTGGGCTGAGCACAAAGGAGCTCCTCCCAGTCGTCTCCGTCAGTCACCGCTTCTGCTCTCTGGCAACACGTATCCTACATCGCCGCCTCGCCACTACAGCCTCACTGCCAGGCAACGAAGTCATTCTCGAATGCTACCATCCAAGCGCCAAAATATCCACGCCCTACCTAGCCTGTCGATATCTCGGCACGGCGTCCTGCGACGGGCCCTCGATCAATGAGCAGAACCCGAGCTTCGTACATCTGCGCAAGATGTATTCATGCTTCCGGCCAGTCATTATGGAAGAGAACAGACGCAGAAGGTTCCGTTATGGGTGGTCTGTACAAACATTGGCTGGAAGCACTCAGCTCCAGATTGCCGCCGAAGATGTCCTTGATGAGACTGCACACCAGGAAGTGTACCTTGATGAAGGAGAGCGCTTCTCCCAGCTCTGCACTGTGACGAATGTCGTCAAGCATGGTTCACGACCGGGCATTTTCACACGACATGTCAATATCAGCGAAGGCGTCATTCGTGTTTTCAGGCACTGGCTGGCCGGCATGATGTCCAGGCAATCAACTCTTCAGTCTGGAGCGTCCTCACCATCTTCCTCTACAGACGGAGCCACAATCGCGAGCTCAGGCACATTTTCATTAGACGATCGCCGCATCTTGTGGGTAGATAACTCAAAGAACATTGGCCTGCGTTTCAAGGTAACGCCTGGACCAGAGACACGGGGGACAATCTTTGAAGACGAGCCGCCCGTGTTTTACAATCTAATTTACGAAGGTCGGTGTTGCCTTGTCAACCTCTTCTGATTCTCGGCTACGGCTGCAATGCATCTTGCTAACTTATGGAGCCAAAATAGAACTGATTATACGCACCAGCACACTGCTTTTGGCCGTTGAAGAAGCATCTATAAAGTACGTGGCGCACTCAGGAAAGGACATCATTATCGCGGCTATCTAAACGCGTCTTTTGAGACTCTGAGTTTCCTTGAGGGTAAGAGTGGCTGTACTCGTACGATGCAGCGTCATTATCGTGTTCGTTGTGGATTGTTTGGACACGTGTGGCTGGACCAGATCCTGTTCAGGATGGCCATCCCGTACCTGTTTACCAAATGGCTGTTGACGAGACAAAAACAACACGATCGAGGAAAGAGAAAGGGTGCATGACGACCAAAGTAAACAAACCAGTAGTGTCAGGGTGTTTCTTATTAAACGTCTCAGATGCGTACAGCTGAGTGTCTAAGGGAGATTCGCAGTCTCAGACACCAGACCGTCGCGCTACTCTAACCGTTTATACAATCTTTACAATGATGATGTGCATTTCCAATGCTATCTTGATCATCTCAAACAAACATCCATCCTTAAGATGTTGTTAGAGTTGACATTACCATCCACCAAATCACACATGAGTTTAAGTATTTACAGGCTGCTTTTACAGTTTTTCACAGAATGCGACCAAGATACACATCCAGGGAGCACCACACATCCTAAATCGCTGAACAATACGTCTCTAAGCTAAGACAATAACAAAAGAAAAACTGGAAATGACATGACCAGCAGCAGGGCAAGCAAAAGCCAGACATGGAGCGGGAAGGGGGATGGCTGTCTCTGCTCTCTGCAAGGCACTATGCACGGGGTGAAGCGAAATACGTATCTCATACCCTGCAATGGTACCCAGCCAAGGAAGAAACAATAAAAAAAGCCACAATATAGAGAGGAAAATATTGATGATCAGCGGGTAGATGGACGGACAGCTGCATACGAGAAGGATGGGAATCCGTTCTGGCGGTGACGGAGCTGAGCCTCTACCGCGGCGATGACCTAACAAATGAGACGCATTGAGAGCGGAATTGAGTGGAGCAGATAATAAAGACTATCATTGACTGGATAGTAAAACGAATGAGAAATTTTCTTTCCTTCTCTTTATTGTTGCTCCGCTGTAGGGTGACACGGCATGTTGACCGAGATGTGATATTGGAGGTGATAGTGTAAGCCGAGGTGCATTAGCTCGGGACACGGATGCGCAGACGAATGGCATGTGCTATTTGGCTCCTTTCGCTACTATCTCGTCTTCCGTGTCTTAGAATTACATGTCAATACGTAGGCTCAAACTGCAGGTTAAAGGCGGTGGGATCTGGTTGTTGAGAGTGTTTCTCTACGCTGTGACTAGAGTGCTCCATGCAAGCCCGTACCTGGATTTGACAGCATCATAGGTACATGGACTGCAAATTTTCTTCGTGCGACATTGATAGGCGCCGGAGAATTCCAAATTCTCCATTGTGTAGTGCATACCTGAATGGTGCGCCGTGATACTACATCGTACAAGCAAGTGCATGCATCATCGTCACCGCTTGACAGGGCTGAAGGCTACATGTACTGCCAGGATAAAGGCCGCAGGGTAGCTTCACTAAGAGCATTATGGGTTAAACCATCTGAAGCTGTTCATGAGACAACGCATCCTGCAGGTACAGAGTGCAGCGCTGGATAAGTAGGCATACGTCTTCTGCAAACTACTAATCACATCATCTGCCGGCAGAAGAGTACTATATGCATGATTGAAACTTGAGAAGAAGGCTCTCGCTCTCAGATGAACCCAGACTCTGCTCCATGTCAAAACTTATCGACTTGCAGCAATAATCTCAAGGCTTGATTGGTGTGTGGACAGGGTCTGCCAGCTGGACCAGGGCCATATGCAAGCCACAGCACATGAGCAAACGCAACCATACAATCGGTGAGAGGCCAAGAAAGCACCGGCCAAGAGGCAACCGGGTCTTTGGCAGCGCAGCTTCGTTCATGTCCTCGAATGTGCATGTATACAAACGCATCATGACGATAGTAAGAGAAAGAGATGCAGGGGCAAAACACGAGGTGCGGCTCCGAAGGCGCCCAACATTTAGGCAGGGCTTACACGGTTGGTTTGCTTCATGTTGTTTGTACAAAGAATTGATAATGGTTTAAAATAGATTAGTATTGCATGTTGAGGCTTACTCTAACTTGTGATGAAGGCTGTTTTCAGCTCTCTTGATGCTTCTGCCGTTGCCGCTGAAGGATCGGAAACGAAAGACGCAGCTGTCCCGTTTCTGCACACCTCACGCACTCACCCGCCACTGCACCTGTATCTACCTAGTAACAACAAGTATGTACTTGGAAGCACTCCGCAAGGTACGACGAGATATGGCCCTGTCGTAACACGATCCGGTGACTTGGCCGTACAACAACAACAACAACAACAACAACAACAACAACACCAACAACAACCGCACATCTTCTCTACAACTACATCACCAGTCACCGCTACTGTACTCCCATCACCTATTCCACCAGCCTCTCATGCCCTAAACGCACTCGTAACAATCACTCCACCTCCAACGAACAACAAGAAACCCCCTGAAGGATCCTCCCGGAAGACTGCTGCCGGCACTCGAAAACTCCACTGTTCAGCCCGCGTCCGAGCACCCGGCCAAGACAAGTAGCTAGTACGCATCTGCAGTAGTGTCAGGCACTAGCAGCCTTGGTAGCGGTACCTGGATTGCCCTAGCAAGGGGGACACGAGTGGAACTCGGACAGGGGGCCCAAACCCAAAGCTTGAGCTCCATCCCGGCCATCTTTCAGCCTCTCTTCTCATCCCTTCCAGCGGGTGCCCGAATCTCTCTCTATCCCTCCGTCTGTAGAAGTGCACTGTACCTACAGCAAGCAGTGAGGGTGTTGGTCATTCTAACCACCAACTAAATTAACCGTCCCTTTCGTTACAGGCTGATGGATACGAACAAAAAAAAACAGGCTTGTCTCGTCCTCATCTCGCCATCCCGGCCGCTGAGACACGAGGGGAAGACGGGCAGAAACACGGCATCTCTTGACTCAATCTTGTCCCGCCGTCCGTGCTAGATTCTGCTACCCACTGCAGTCCAACTCCAGCCGTCGATTTGCTGTCAGATCGGCGTCGAGATAACTTGTACACGCACGACTTGGGATCATCGCCATCCGCAGCCAAAGCTCGCACAATGAGATCCGCGTCTGTCTATGCCCTCACAATGGCCAAGCCATTGGCCTACGGGCCTCTCCTGCGGCCATCATGACCAGGGTCTTGGCCAGACCCCGTTCCTGCGCATATTCAGCTTTGCAGATGCCGCCATCTACGAGCCCGTGGCGGTGTTGGGCCTTGTTCTGGTTGTAAGATGACTCGGTGGCTTCTGGCTTCTCATCTCTGCTTTGCGTCCCAACATCTCGAGGGCCCGTCCTCCCTTGTCTTGGCCCTCTTTCACCCCCACCTTCAACCGCCTGTCTCGTCTATCCTTGTGTATCTCCCCTTGTCTTATACCGCCCTCTCAACTCCACGCCACGCCTGTTTATGTGTGTAAGCCCAGATCCACAAGACCATCAAACTCTACCCATGCAAGGCAGCCTCACCGGATGGCTGTTACCATCCTCTGCTCCCCTCTTGCTCTGCTCTCCCCCCCCTGCCTACGCTTCCGACTGGCCCAACTCGCGTTATGCTGGTTCTTGGCTCAAGCGTGCTATCTAGTATAACTCCGGAGCCGTACTCTCGGAGCTGTCAAAAGGCCCACCGTCGCGTCAAGCCCCCTTCGTCGTACACGCACAAATAGATATGCGGTCGCTCTTTGCCCAATGGGACCGATCCCACTACGCTCACTTTTCAATTCGTTCATTGAATGACTGAGCTGGCCTCTCGTTCAATAACCCACGCTCACTTACAAATAACGTAACCAACAAAGCAAATATATCAACCTTGCAACAAATACTAGCAACACTGCCAAGCAAGCAAAGGAGATAGTCCGCCATGGATCCCACCAGTATCAGAATCGTGAGCAGCTCAACACGCCCACCATCCGTTCACTCGCTCAGGTCCGCCCTCAAAACGCTCGACTTGCCTTCCATGCCTCCTACTGTGCCCTTGCCGCCTCTCCCGACGTCTCCTTCGTCAACCAAATCACGGACAGCAACGTTCACCATTGGATCTCCCAGACCAACCACTGGATCAACTAAAAAGAACTCATTTACCTCGCTCGCTTTCCGTCCGCATAAACCGATCAAATACGGAACCGGAAAGTTTTCTCACGTTGAATTGGTACCACAACCAAGTGATGATCCACAAGATCCTCTGGTAAGTTGCCATGCATTGGTTCATCTGTACCAAGGACCATGAGGCTGAACGCGTGTGTCCATTACTAGAATTGGCCTCAATGGAAGAAGGAATTAAACTTGGCATCCTTGCTCCTCATGGCTAGCCTGATAGGCGCCATGAAGACAGCCCTTGTTGCTGTCAACGAGGTCATCGCTACGCGATATCAAGTTTCCTATACCTGGGTTGCCGCTTTGACGGCTGCACCCTTGATGGTATCGGCCATTGCCGGCTTTGCTAGCTCAACGGCAGCGAAGCTGGTCGGAAAGCGACCAGTATATCTCGTCTCATCGGCCTTTGTCTTTGCCGGGTGCATCTGGAACATGACAGCAGACTCCAGCTATGGTTCGTGTATGGGTGCCCGAGTCATGCAAGGACTCGGCTGGGGTGCTTTCGACACTCTACTCATGGAGACTATTCAGGATACCTTTTATGTTAGCCACATCAAACCTTGCCCCTGATGCTATAAAGACGCATACTGACCCTAGTGTGGGATAGGAACATGAAAGGAACATCCGCGTGTCTCTGTACACGACCCTCACCGTCACCATGACTTGGGCATCGCCGCTCCTAGGCGGCGTCATCTCCTATCGCGTTGGATCTTTCGTTACCCAGTACCGCATACTCAGCGCACTTTTCGCTGTTGCTATTCCCATGCTGGCCCTGACAGCGCCCGAGACTGCCTTTAACCGCTCCAAAGCTGCTATTGCAACGACTCCGGTCCTCAGCTTCACATTTCCATGGGAACCCCAGCACACCCATATCGAGCTTAGCAGAGACTGTGCCATGGACTACGTCAAAGAAATGAAGCCATGGTCATTTACAGGAGAAAACATTCTTTCAAACTCGATTCAAACGCCACGAGCTCTCGCTGCTCCTACTACTTCCCTCGTCTTCCTCGTCACAGCACTACCTCATTGTATGCTATGGGGCTTTGTTGCTTCCTTGTCTCTCTTGCTCTCACCATCACCGTTTAACCTTCCTCCGAGCATCATCGGGACCCTCTTAACAGGTCCCTGGATACTCGCAATCGTCATTGTTGCTGGCATTTGCTATTATCGCTCAGCAAACCAGAGCTTCACACGATGCGTCAGTAGCCTCACCATTGCCGGCGGTGCGCTCCTGGCTCTCATTGGTCTCACTTCTTTCGGTTTAAACACCGGAAGTTTCATTTCACGGTCATCCTCATCGTCCAACGAGACGCCTACAACCTTTCTCACCCCAGAAGCAGCGCATGAGCTCAATCTTCCCCTTTTATCCCTACAACTCGGGCTTCTCGCAGCTGGTGCTTCGACTCTAGAAGCTACCGCACGGCCTCTCCTCGCTCGATCAGCATCCTTCACCGCATCAAGTATGGCAACAGCCCAGCGAAGCGTAGGAGACATGCACTCATGGGTGATCATCCTCCGAAACCTTTTAGCCGGCGCCTTTGTCCTCGCCATCCCCCACGTCATACCCAAAGCAGGCGGACTCAAGGCTCTCGTGATAGGCCTGGGAACGGTCCAAGCCGGAATCACAATATTCGTCCTCTCACTATGGCACTTTTACGAAAAGAGCGTGTGGAGGATGGATGGCAAAGTCATGGGGCTTGTCAATTTGCGAATGCCACACCCAGAGGAGAGCTTCTTTGATACCGACTGAACAGATATATATCCAGCCCGCGTGCTGAAGAACACAAATGAATAAAGGCCAAAAAAAGGTATACAAAAAAAAGTAAGAAAAAGAACATGTACAACAGATACTTGGCAGCCTCTGCCTACCAAAAACGGCGAACGAGACAGAAAAAGCGCAGCAGACAGGTACAAGATTTGAACTTGTACCTATGTCTTTAAGAAAAAAGAAAAAACAACAATAATTATTCACTTCTACCATCATACATATCACAGGCAGAACGGAGTACACAAGCTACGATGTTTCTTTTATTCTTGGGCCATTTTATATGGTTCCCTTTTTTTCCTTTTTGTTTACCTATGGGTCATTACGATATCCAAGGATATGACATGATATACGATATGGGATACTTGGCTAGGAATGGGGAAGGGGGAATGGGGAATGGACTGGGAACTGGGAACTGGGTATGAAGAAATGAATCACGGCCGACTTTACTGACGGAGTTATAAATGTCTTCATGATCTTCTTATTATATACTATAGACGGCCCTTTGTTGCTTGTCAAATGCCACATACTGGCTCAACAATCTTCACTGCTTCGTGAACCATATGCTATGTAACGTATCATCACTCCATCGGAACAAGGAGATATTTGAGTAGTATCATGATCATTTATTTGTCAATCATCAGTCAATCCGCCGATGTGGCGTTCTAGCTACATAACAATGTCCTACGTAGATATATATACGTGTAAACCTTTGCAGATCCATGCGACTGTCGTTTAGCACGAGATCGCCGCCGCCCTCGTTTTCGAATATATAGCCTACATAACCACACCATTAAACTTGTATTTCCGGACCAGATGGCAAGCATGGGAATAAAAAAAAGGAGTAACTCGCAGTTGCCGGCTTAGTGTCGCTCAATCATGTTCGTACATTTCCGTAAAAAATAGAAAAAGAAGCTGGGGCGAAAAGACAAAAGGATCCAAGACGCTGTCAAGTCCAGCATCTTTCAGAATCCCTACATCACCTCCTATAAGGAGTGAGAGGTCTTGGCCCCCAAGTTGGCCACGCGTCTCAGCTCCACGTCGCTTCCGATAGTCGCAGAATCTCCGTCATCTATAAAAGATTCGCATCGTCCTAGCGGAGCAGTCATTCGCTCGTTCATGGCAAGGTCGTCCGTATGGCGACGCTCAACCTTCGCGGCGCCGCCTTTGAGCTGCTCGCGCACCCATGCCTTGATGGGGTGCCAGCTAGTGACGAAGAAGATGATTCCGTTCCACAATCCTTGCAAGGGCAAGACTGCGGCTGTTGCGAGGTGAAACGGGTAGGGCGATCCTCCGTCAAGCCAGCCGTGGATGCGATTCAAGCTGCTGGGAATCCAGGTGGCCAGCACGCTCAGCGCGAACAAGAAGCTCGTCCTCAAATACGCTCTCTTGACAGGATCGCCGACGCGGAACTTGCCAGTGACGGCGGTGACGGCAGTCACAGAACGATGTAGTAGGGAAGGCTGAGGAGGAGCCTCTTTGGGTGGAGCGGTCGTAACAGAGGAGTAGTACTGGTTTTCGCCAGAGGGCTGTATTTCGGTGGTCGAGTGGTCGAAAGAAACCTGCCTGTTGTTTGGCTGGATGAAGGCGGGCTGAGGCTCGGGGGGTGAAGTGTTGGCGGGAGTATGCGTGACTTGAACTTCGGTGGTGACGGTGCCGTAGCAGCCATTCTGTGCTGCGTCTGGTTGGCCCTGCAATTGATGATCAGCGTCAATTTGAAATGATCCTAGACAAGAGAATAAAACAACGTACCGGCTCCACGTCTTTGTCCTTTTCCCTATTCTTTGACGTGGAAAAGCTTCGTAGCCGGTTTCTCATGCGAAAGACATGCCATCCAACCAGGAAGTAACAGAGGAGAGAGCCAACGATGCATATCCAGATTAGCATGTAGTACGTGTAGATTCGAATAAAGTCCCACTGCTTGTCGACCCAACACCAGATCTACGCAACGACGATGATTAGCCAAAAAGAGTCATCAAACAAAAAGGCGCGAGGTTGCTCACTGTAGCTCCGCCGTAGACACGGCCACGCGGGCTTCTAAGGAGGAGGAGAGTCAGGGCAATGACGAAAGGCCCTCCATAGCAGATCAAGCAGTAGATCCACCAGCGCTTGCGAAACGAGTCGGGGTTTGTGTGGAAGTAGAAGACGAGAAAGACGTTGATGGCCATGGCTAAAGACCACCAGGGGTCAGACTGCATGAACCTGTCCCGAATGCCCACGGTTAGTCTAATCCGATCTTGATTGTTTCCCTCTTCAACGGCGTTACTCACATTTCAAACATGAAGCTCTGGGCCTGGCATAAGGCACTCTTTTGACCAGCATTCACGCCGGCAAAGGCGATGATGCTCGCAATACTGGCGCCAACATTGGAGATGCTGGCAAAGACGATGAAGGTGTTTTGCACGTTGCGCACTCGGCGAACCAGCCAGTAGGCGAGGAAAATGAGCATAACAGAAACCAAGCTGAGGCAGCCGCCGATTCGCTCGACGATGACGAGCGTGTGGATTTGGTGGAGAGTCAGTTGCTCATCATCGACCGCGACGAGGTCTGTGGTTGCATTGGCAGCCATGGCGGCTGGACCGGATATGCCAAAGAAGCTGCGAGAGGCGATGGCATGTGCGGGAGAGAAGTGGCTGAAGAGGAGGAGGAAGATGGTAGAGAGAATAAGAGAAGAAGAAGAAGAAGAAGATTCGTTGCACCACCAGATTTGGAATCGAGAGATGTTGGCGAGGAAGGAGAGACGAGGAGAGGAGGGGAATAAGAAGGTGGAGGAATGGAAGAAAGTGTTGGATGCAACGATGAAAGGAGAAAAAGAAGAAGACGAAAACAGAAGTGAAGCCCCCCAGCAAATAGAAGAAAAAACGGCCGTGCAAAAAGAAGAATCAAAGGATGCTGCCAGCTGGTGGTGGCTGCCAGACCGAAAGGCCGGAGCAGAGGCTATGCGGTGGGACAGACACAAAGAAGAGAAGAAAAAACGAGGCGAAGGGACTCTGATTTCGGAGGAGGGGGGGTTCGTCACATTCTGCCGTAGATTAAAAAAAAAAAAAAAGGATTTGAGCAGTTAAAGAAGCTGAAGAAGTTTGAGAGTAGAGAGCAGCCAGAGCCAGAGTCAGAGGAGCTGGCCGACACCGAAGCCCTCGCCTCTTTTGCAGGGCCCGAGACCGAGCCTGAGACCGAAAGCTACAAGCGAGCTTCTGCTGGCGCCCAGCATCAATCCGAGTATCAGAAAACGAGTTGGAAGAGAGAGAGAGAAACAACAGTCCCCAAAGCAACCGCACGAAAAGGCTGCGCGTGTGTCACAACAGCTGCATGCGGCCGCCGGCGGTTGGAGAAGAGCTCGGCGGTTCTTCAGTCCGGGCGCTGGTGTAAATCGACGGGATCGTGACTGCGAGTCGATGGCCGCATCACGGCTGGGTGAAGCTGATTCCGATTTCTGATTCCACCAGGTTTTTTCACCACAAGACCCGAGGTAAATGAAGGAAAACAAGACAAGTAAAGATGACATGCACAGTGTCTAGCAGCCCGTCCGGATACAAGAACAAGAAACTCAAATGGCAGACGATGGTTGTCAGCCGCAGGACTAGACGGTTAGTTTCAACACCAGATAGCCGGTCAGCGCTGGGATCGGATGGCGGGCGTGAGATGGATTGATTGATTCGCCTGCAGGTCGCTGCCCCTCACCTCAGTCGCCAGCAGCGGCTGCGTCATCGCACAGAAATGCAGGACAAAGAGGGAGAGACGCAACGCAAACAGATTTGATTTGCGAGAGCCAACGCTTGTTGTCTTGTGTTTTTATCCTCGTTCGCTATGGCGGTGATACATTGGATGTTACGCTGTGCCTCCATTGATTGCACTTATAAACAGGACAGACGCAGGTACCACCACTGCAGAACACACAACACTAACACAAGACAAGACACGGCACAGCGCACATGTTGAATCATCGATGCCCAACCTCTCGAGCAGACAAGTCAATAGTCCCGGTTCTAGGTAGTTCTAGTTCCTCCAGGCCATCCAAAACGAAGTCGCCACTCACAAGGCGGGCGACATGTCCCAATCCAGCAAATCGGCCCCAACTCGAGATACTGTAGCTCACACTCGCAGCAGCACCGACGGGCGTTTGTGCCCCCAGTCGTAGCGCCACGCCAAATCTGCCTCAACCCGCCAACGTGCATCTCGTTCTACTTCTACTTCTGCTTCTGCTTCTGCTTCTCCGAATTCCAGAGGGTGCCTGTGCCGCTGGTGAATTTTGTTTTTATCCACATTATATTACCTATACGACTCGCAGAGCCATTCGTCTTACATGGAATCATGCTGCTGCGGTGGTTACCGTATTGTATGCAGACACCAGCCAACACTTACACCAAATGCAGCCAAAGACATACACACCAACGGAACAAAGACTCGAAACGAACAATGACATCCACCTACCCAAAATAACAACACAGCCTCAGTCATCAAACAAAAAGGCCCAACTAATCCTACAACAACTCAACAGCCAGAGCGAGAGACACGGGCCAAGCATCAAGGCAGCCCGCATCCCGAAACAAGACACACTTTCTCCAACCAAAAAAAAAAACGGCTTCAACGTCGCACCTAGTCCTCCAGCCACAAGCACGCTAAAAGAAAAGATGAGCATTTTCCCAATTCATCTTTAATCCCCTTCAGCCACCCTGTTTAGTAAACCTACTACATGCTTCTCCAAGAGACCAAGGAAAAAAGCCAAGCCAAGCCATCGATGACCTTTGTCAGCAAGCATCCCAAACTCCCGGATTCCAAAACAATGCTACTCTACTCTACTCACTCTCCAGAGATCCGGCAAAGTGGAGAAATCCGACCGTTGCAATAAAGATGGATTAGAGAATCGAAACCCGCTCTTTTTCAAGCCACCGCCGTCAGTGGCAGTGGAGTCGAGAATCTATCCATCCATTGGTTTTTCGGTTCTAAAGAAACTAAACTAAGGATTCCAGCCCCCAACGTTGTCTCCTCGTGGCAGCCTCGTTTTTTTTTCTTCGGAGATGTGTGTTTTGAGAAAAACTACCCAATTGCCGAAGGTGTTACTCGAACTATTCCACACTTGTACGCTTGTTTATAAATCGGAAGAAGAAAAATGGGTTTACTTGTTTAGCCCCGATGGCTTAGTAGGAATGCGCAAAGCTACATGTATTGAGGTATGTATGTACTGCATGATGCGGGTATCCTTGTTTATTCTTTCTCGAACCAACGGTCTTTGTTCTCCGGCGTCGAATTTTTGCCCTAAACACAGCGCCTATCCGATCCGGTAAAAGTCACATGACTCCCTCTCTCTCTCCCATATTCTTGATAATATCCCAAAAATAATAAGATAGAAGAGTTTCTTAGAAAAATCTAATTATAGGTCTTGTTCCTCTCCCATCCAAAGTAACCCAGGTTCCACAAGCTACCTACCTAGTCAACGCTTACCGACTTTCCTTGATGAAATGGTGATTCTACCCTCGCACGACGATATACGAGTACATAACTTCACTCGTCTAACCAACAGTAAATCTTGAATAAATTAAACAACATGCATCCCCCCATTCCGTCCTCTTCATCTCCCCCAAATCCTACCCCTCCCAAAGCCTCACTTACATCCAATAGCAGCATCTCTTGGCACGCGAATCCTCCAGCCTCCGACATTCCATACACGCTCCAACCAAAAGCACGGATACCCCCCAAGGTTCTCGTGATCAAAGCATCGTGTGTGTTGGGCAGTCATTGCATACAAAATCAGTCACAGGGGTATTATTATTAGCCAGCGATATCAACATGCAAAGATTCACTCTCGTAGAAACGCTCGTTCCATTGCCGCCGCCCAACCATGTAGAAAGCTTTTTTCGAGGCGTGATGCCTCCCCCCTTTCATCCGCACATGCACTATGTACACGTCTTATCATCGTCAAGAAAAGACAAAAACAGGCTCTAGGGTTCTACTACTCCGTACATTCGAAAATCCGACAACATATCCAAAAATGTAGTGGTATCCAAAGACGTGATTTCCCCCAGTCCCAAAATTCCCTATTCAACCAATGTTTGTATCAACTCTTCCACACGGCCTCCCAGGCGAACTGTTGTTCACGCACGCGTTCCCAAAGACATGGATATGAAAAAGACTCCTCAAAAACGGAGACTGATAAGCAAAAAGAAAATACACCTTTTCCCCAACACTCAAATGGTGTACATGAAATCGGGGCGCATGTCGCCCAGTGCCTCAATCTCCTTCTGCGTCTTGCCCTCGATCCAGTGGTTTCGCTCACCGTTCAATCGCTTCTTGTTCTCTCGGCTGAGCAGCGTAGCCATCAAGATGCTACCGCAAAACACGCCGATGAACAGGTAGCCGACGATGGTGGCGTGGCCTTCGATGTAGCGCGGAGCGTGGAAGTAGATGTTGCTGCTCACAACACCGTTGAGGTTGCCCCATCCAATGACGAAGCCCAGCACGATACCGCGCTTGTAGACGCCCTCGACGTTGTTGGCGACCCAGGCAATGGTGATGGGGATACACGGGTAGATGCCCAAGGCTCCCAGGAACGTGCCAGCGTACTGCACGGCAGGGTTGGTCGATGCCATCAGCATAATGAAGCCGGCCATGCCCACGACCGAGATGCAAATGTTGAAAATGGCTCTCTTCTTGACCTTGTCCGACCACAGGCCGGCTATAACGGTGGCAACGGCAGCCACGGCATAGGGCGGCACGCTGAGCAGCTGGTTCCTGATGACTGAGGTCTTGGTGGTGAAGCTCATGTTTTGGATGATGGAAGGCAAAAACAGACTGAATGAGTACAGGGGCATGAGGGGGCCCATGTAGACGAGCATGCCGGCGTACGTCTTCCAGTCCTTGATGGCAGCCCAGAAGTACTCCATCTTGAAGGATTCGTGCTCGGCAGAGCTCTGCTTGTCCTGCTTGAGACGCCACAGCACACGCATGCGATCTTCGGGAGACAAAAACTTGGCCTCATCGGGGAAGTCGTGCACGAAGAAGAAGGAGAGGACGCCGACGAGGATGGTCAGCGCACCCTCAATGATGAAGATCCAGGCCCATCCGGCGATGCCTTGCTTGCCGTCCAGCTTCTCAATGGCAGCCGCGAGGAGACCTCCAAAGGAGCCGGCCAGCGCGGCGGCGGAGAAGAAGATGGCAGCGCGGACACCGAATTCGTTGCGCTTGTACCAGCACGAGAGATAGTAGTTGACACCGGGGAACAAGCCGGCCTCGGCAGCGCCGAGGAACCATCGCGCGGCCATGAGACCAGACCAGTTCTTGACAAAGCCCATTCCAAGCATGCACGCGCCCCAAACGATGCTGTTTGGATATCATTAGATTGCTGAATCGACCCGAGTAACGCGCTACCAGGTGACTTACATGATGATGGGAATGAAGATGGAGGGGCGGGATCTCTTGAGCAGGAAATTGGCCAGAGCCTCAAAAATGGCATAGGAGATGAAGAAGATTGTGAGAGACGCATTGTACTGAGACGTCGACATGGGAATGTCCCTGGTGAGGTTGGCCACCTTGGCGTTGCCGATGTTTGTGCGATCGAGGAAGCACATGAGATACAGAAGAGTGAGCTGGGGGAACCAATTGTTAGCCGGCTCGGTCCTTGTATCAAGCGCCCGTGATTGCTAGCGACTCGGGATATCCGGTTGCGTTTCAGGGCACAGCGGGAAAAAGAACGTACCCATGGTATGAGAACCAAGTCTAGCTTTCGAAGCAATCGACGTTCCTGTGAAGCCATACCCGTCAGTAAAATGTCATCCTCACAATGCCTTCATGAACGCCTAACAGCGAACAAGGAAGGGGAAAAACTCACGTTTGCCGCCCTCGCTTCATCAGACAAGCCCGCATCCGGGTCTATGATCTGGTCATGCTCAATCGCAATCTGCTCGACCTCGGAATTCGAGATGTTGTCTGCGCTCGGCACCTTTTCCGTGTCGCTCATGATGGGCAGAATCCTTTATTTCGAACAAAACAGAAAGCCTCCACAATAAAAAGAAAAGGAAATAAAGAAAAATAAATTATGATTTACAGGAAAAAAAAAAAGACAAACAATGAGGAGCCGCAACCTCTCACAGAGCCTTAAGCGAGAAAAAAAAGAGAGAGAGAGAAGAAGACAGGAATTGGGGGAGGGGTGGTGGTGTGAGCCTTGGAGGAAGTCCCTGGGCTGCTGATCCAAAAGTCTTAGACAAGACGGGCGGCAACCACCGGGTCTCTGGACTTGTTAAGCGATTTATACAAAAATGGGAGGCAGAACAGGAACTGGAGCGCCCTTTCGGATACCGTAGACCGATCCCGGGGAGGAAGAGAGGGAGGGACAAGGAGATTTTCGGAGGATAGGGCGGGAGTTAATGTATGTTAGCAACGGCCCATATA